AATAATGATAAAATAATGATAAAAATGGTGTTGGGCACAACACAATAGAAGTGTTAAAAATATCAGTGACCACTTTTCAAACGATGAAGTATGCGATAGCTGTCTTCAAACATAGTTATTTTTCAAAGCATTACATAATTATTGCTACGTGCTTTAAAGAAGTTTCAGATTTTTTTTTATCGAGCAAGTAAACACCAAGGAACGCAAGGACCATGACAATCATAGAAACAATGTCTTTCTTTTCCTTATGCTTTTTTTTTTCCCACTGGCATCTAAGCTTTGTGACAATGCCTTTAGTGTAAGCCTCATTGGCATTTTTCATCCCAAATTCTTTTAGTCATCACACTTTATAGTAAAACCTACATTTGTTTTTGTAGCGCAGCTGTATATGACTAGGTGCAACCAAAATATGTCTTATGTGCAGAAAAATTGCTATCGCTTATGTGCCACAGAAATTGGACAGATTGCACTGCTTACTACTGGTCTACTGAGAATGACGAAGAGAACAATTTACAACTTATCAGCTACTGTCATAATGTTTCCTAGGGTTTCACAACAGTCCTAGTTGAAAATTAGTGGTACAGTAAGAGTATACTATTTTCGCCAGTCCGATGTTTGTCTAGAAAAACTATGTAATTCATTTTCACTTAATGTCACTTTACAGAACTGAAGTTAGTTTATGACACGTGTTATGGCACGTGAGCATCCGCTCGCCAGCCCAGACATGGTGGAGATTATCCCTACGAGTCAAAACAGTTCCGCTGTGTTTGCAAACTCTGCATCCTGAATGGAGCCTAAATCACAGAGATCGTTGTTAGGGTCGGTGAGCAACAATTCACTCATCGTTGTTTACATGCACCACAAGGTGATGACAGATTTGCTGTTAGTGTACTGTGAGTTGCTGTCTCCTCGTAATGTCACACTGTGATGACACATCACTGAGAAGCCGGCCCCTTCATATCAAAAGCAAGTTTTTTTTTAAGGTAGCTGTATTAAACAAGTACTGACACGAATTTGAAATATTTTGGGATTGTCGCTCTGAATAAGAACGTGGGTTTTGAGAACCCTAAAAAACAGTACGGTGGTGATTTATTGGGAATGCACCACACATGTTTTTCAAAGTAATGGTGAATGCATCACACATATCACCATTACTTTAAGAAGTTACTTTCGGTTTCGATATCGAGAGGGCGGCTTCTCCGTGACGTGCCATGTCAGTCTGATGTCGCGTGAAAACAGCCATTCGCGATGTGCCCGCGACAGATTGGCCATCTGCTCGGGGTACATGGGAACAACGATGGGTACATTTTCCCCAGCAACCCCAACAGCATTTTTTTTTTTGCAATTCTGGCTGCGTTCAGGACGCAGGGTATGCAAATTTCGTGGACCTGAGTTGACTGGTCGAATGTCCATTGTGGCGTGGTGGGCTCGCTGATGCTCAGCGACGAAATCATTAAAGTAAAAAAAAATATTTTATATGTACTGGCAGACTCTGGTCTGCGGAGAGGGTTAATACTGCATACCAAGAAAACGAAAAATTTCCCTTTTTCGATGACTAAAAATCGTGTCGGTACTCTTTTAAAAATAGATTCGATGCACTCCCAGGTGCCACAACACTTTTTTAAGTGTTTTAGACACCAGTGTGTTCTTATTTAGGGCAACATTCTGAACATATTTAAAATTGCTATCAATATTATGTTAAAACATCGAAAATCTGCACCAAGGGTTGTGGATGTTCTTGTAGTGTGTAGGCATGTGCATAGCTCTCAGAAAAGTTTGCTCCCTTTACGTTGTATTTTCTCCCCAAAGAGTAATTGTTTTGCTTGCATATTTTTTCCTTGAAAACTTTGTGCTTGCCATGTACAGTGCTTTCCATGAAGTCTGTCTCACTAGTAATGTATGTGCTGTTCTTGACCTGAAAAAGGCCAAGCATGCAGCGCTAAAGAGAGAAGACTCGTACAAGATTGATGATGGTTATTGTCGGGGTATAAAGTAGATTGTGATGCTGCAAAGTCTTCCCGAGAGTGCATATGGTGTGATGGTGATGGTGAAAGTGGGCTGCTGCACGTTGATATTTGCTCTAGATAAGCTGATAATAATACAGTAGCAACAAGTACTGCAGACTCTGGGCCTGTAATAGCATTGCACACTTACTGTTTCCATGTCCGGACGGCGGCATGCTCAGAACTGTTGCTCAAGCGTGCTATGAAAAATGCAGCATTGAAATGCAGCGTGCTAATAAAATGCAGCGTGCTACGAAAAAATAAAATGCAGCGTGCTATGAAAAATGCAACTTCCATTTAAGATGTAACATATGTAGTATCAATACTTGCTAATAATTTTCAGCAGTAGCTGCTCTACAGGACTCAGAGAATGAAATGCAAAAATTTACAGTTAAGTAATCCTTGTGTTTTTATATCTGGCACCAGCAGTTTTTACCATAATTTTTGCTCGAGCACACTACGCATTAGCCAACGTTATCCTTGGTAGTCAGATATGCTATGATGTGATGACAGTTATTACAAGCAATTGCTCATAGCTAGGGCTCCGTGTTTTCAAATTAATCCAAAAAAATTTGATAAACTCTTGCCGTCGCAACTCCAGTGATTCGGATTTATCCGATAAACTCGTGTTTAAAGGCCATCATATTCTCAACATTCAAATGGTATTTTGGAAGCTGATAATTATCAGTGAAAGGAGCACATTTCCATCAGTGGCAGTAACCTTGAAGAGTATGCTTGCTTCTATTACAATAAGCTTTAGGGTTGCCATATCAAGGAACATAGGTGTTTTATATTCAAATATTTGTGTTCGTGTGTACATGTGTTTGTGTAGTCAAACCTTCCAGACATCTAAAATGCACTTGGTTTACAGATCTGTGGGGTCAGATATCACTTCATCTAAGGTTTTATAATAATAATAATAATAATAATAATAATAATAATAATAATAATAATAATAATAATAATAATAATAATAATAATAATAATAATAATAATAATAGGTTTTTATTTTTCATCAAGAAGATAGGAGAGGCTTGGAGAGAAGGCTAATACCCGTGACACACGGGCAAAAGTAAAGTACTTTGAAGTAAACCCCTTTTGTCGCCTAAGGGGACCATTTGCAGAAAGGAATGGCGCTGATGACACACAGCACCGGACTACTGCTTTAGGCAGTGCCTCAGAAGAACGCTGCAGAAAAAATGGCGCTGTTTGTGGAAGGAGCAAGATTGGAAATATTGAAAAGAATCTGCGCTTCTACATCACATTTAGCGATGCCGGAGCATAAAACCGTTTTTTTTTATTGTCTGGTGGCTTATAATGTGCATACCTGTAATTTTCTTTCGCTTTTTTTTGCGTGTTTAGCAGCAACTTAAGTTCGTCTGGCAACTATGAACAGTCGGTGTTTTGCTGTTTTTGTATTTTGTCGTGCTTTTTACGTGGCTGCGTCCAGCTGGGTCAGTGACGGCGTGCCGAGTTTCGTTGTGGTCCTGCGATGTCTCAGCGCAGAGACAGAGATAAAGCAACAGTTGAGGTGGGCCTGACTCTTGTCGCCCACACAGCAACTGCCGCTGCCAACCCTAACATGATCGCGCTAGTGACGTAATGCAGGCGTTTGAGAGTATGGACAGACTATAGGCCTTCACTTTTTAACAAATCGCACTGCTGCTGAAAATGAAAAAATTTTCTCAGCGCAAAAAAATACTGACAGGGCACCGCAGTGTTGCGACACGTTTTCTTCTATTGATAAATTATACACACTGTATGCGAGAGTACTCCCTTCCTGCCAGAAAAGTAGATGCGGGATCTGCTTTTGCGAAAAGGATCTTGTCAGGAAAGGAGTTACTTCTTTGTCGTGTGTCACTGCGCCCGAACGCCTTTCCGAAAGATTTCCCCTTGTCTAAAGTACTTCAGGGTGCCCGTGTGTCAGGGGCATAAGGGGCAGTGCGACTAGGTCTTGTCTCCGAAAAGTTCACTTTAACGATTATACAAGTACAGCAGTGCACATGAACAGCCTTATTAATGGGGTAAATAAATAGCAAGAAAGAAAAAGAAAACGCTAGAACCGAGAAGCAGAATTATCAGCAACAGTGCAAAGCAATGTCATTGTGAATAGTTATGAATAAGACCATATTTCCAACAACTTATATAGCTACATTAAACTCCTAATTTGGGAGGATTTGGGATTTATGAAAAATGAGCATTGATAAACGAAATATTTTACCCTAAAAAGCAAAGTGCAAAAAAACTTTGAAAACACCCACCCCTGCTCATAGCGCTCATTATACACTCAAACTTCATTATAACGAAGTTGTATTTTATACAAAACTACTTTTTTTTATCCAAAAATTTTTTATAGAGGTTTATTCTTAACACTGCATCTATTAGGACACTATTTTTCATTTACTTCACTATAACCAATATTTCCTTATGTTTGGGTTCACTATAACGAGGTATGAGTACAAGAAATTCACAGGGTTTCTTATGCATTCATACAAAATGATTCAAAGATGAAAGTTATTGTCTTTTTTTTCATAGCATTACATTGATCCTTCCGCCCCTGATAGCTCTCCAGACCTAGCTTTCTGCCCTGCCTCCGGATTCGGAAGCATTGGGAGCTTTCTGCACTGCACGAACCTCCAGGAATGACCCACCTAAGATCGAGCAATAATGTCATGTGATGATGTCGCATAACATGACATCACAGTTACGTCACTATGATGTCATGATGATGAAACAAACTTTATCAAACTGTGACGTAGTTGGGGACATCATCGCAATGAGAGTTTTTTGCTTCTCTTGTTGATGCCGACATTGACAGTCACTTTTCATGTTTGACGAGGCTTTTAAAAAGAAAAGGATGTCACATTTCTGTTCATGGGTACTGTACATTGGGCTGTGAGCCATGTAAGCAGACGATGAAGGGTGGAGGGTTGTGCATCTGTACCGTTAGCTATGAGTAGAACTGTCTCCTTGATGAAGATGCTCATCCTCTTGCAGGACGGTTGGTGTCGAAGCAGCCATGCGGAGGAGAAGGCATTGACGTCTAATCGCTGGTAGGAGGGGGTGGAGGAGGGGGCGGTGATCATGGCCATGCGGGGCGCACGGGGCACCCCCACGGGGCTGCCCCAGGCCATGAGCCCCGAGAGCGCGCTGGCCTCGGACATCTTCGACCAGTTCGTGTCCGCCGGCACCTTCAAGACGGCCCTGTCCACCTACCGGCAGGCGAGTGCCTCTTCAACTGTGTCGACCTTGCTTCGTGTCCATTCCTTGTCACTATATCAATGAGAACTGACACACAATAGTGCCAAGGAATGCATAGGGGAAGTACTTCTTGTGTAAAGAAAGAAAATGGGACGAAAGCATAACTTGCCGCCAGCAGGGACCGAACTTGCAACCTTCGGTTCAGGCGTCCGATGCTCTATTTATGAGCTGCGGCAACAGTTATTCCTCCATCCACCTTATCAAGTGTATATGTGCATTTAAGCATTGTAGCACCACTCGGCGCTGCCAGTAGCCACTACGGCGAGTGTGGAACAATACTTCTAAGAAGAGCCAGGAACACTCTTTTTGCCTGTTGGCATCACATAACATGGGATGTTATGACAAGCTGGCAGCTAACTAATAATCCCTTGTACACTACCTGAAATGTTCAAGCCTACTGGAATGAAATGCTCGCTATAAATGAGAGAAATAAGTTAAAGGGCTTGTTTTCTTTGTTTGACACAATATTAATGAGAACTAACAAAGATGCAAAGTATAGGGAGGATTATTAGAAATAATTAAAATGTAACATAACAGCGCCAAGTCATTTTTTTCATTCGTGTTTCTTCCTTCACATTTACATTAACATTACATTTAATAAGATCCCATATCTCTTTCTTGGCATCGTCTGCTAGTTCTCAATAATGTTCTGTCTAATGAAAAAGGCAAGCCCTTGAATGAACACTTGTTTCTTTCGTTCCTGATCACTCAGTTACTTTAGCATTGTGTTACCATTCGTTGATTTCCTCATTGGCTTGCATGGTTGATGGCCACTTAAGAAATCCAGAGGGGTAGAGCTTGATACTTAGCCTACGATGCATTTTTCGTCAACTGGTAGGTCTTCCTATTGAAGTGCTCAAAGTCGTTCTCTTTGTACAAAGCACGCTTTTACAGTGAGGTTAATGGAAGGGCTTTCTTACGTGGCAATTTTTAAATCCTTCTTTTGAACTTAGTATGCTCTTGCAGCTATTTCAATACAAACTCCATGTTTAAAATTTAAAAAGATTCCTTCGCACTATGAACACTGGTGAAAAAGCTTTGCCATTCTCAGCCCGTCACATTCATTCATGGCCTTTTTGTTTGTAAAGGGCTAACCTCGTCTTGCGTATTTGCCTTGATGAGCGGGGTTTGTTGGAAGGTGTTTTCTTGGTTTAGTACATAATATCTGTGTAGCAATATGCACACAAAGCCAGATAAATCATTATTTGTCCGATACAACTTTTTCATATCAATTTTTTATATTTTTCTCAAGCTTGCAAAACATGCTGCACCATAAAATATAAACCTAGCATACCCTTCAGTTCCTCTTGAGCCCTACTTCATTCATTCACCCATGAGCTATAATGGTACTGGCATTTTGAAGAATAGCTTTACCACCATGAGTATTACCCTGTTTGTCAGTAATTTGCGTGTTGGTGTCTCCATCCTTGCAGATGTGCGACGTGCTTCAGTTGAGCCCGGCGCCGCTGCCGGTGTTCTACCCGCGGCTCAAGGTGAAGCTACGATCCTGGCGAGCCGCCTCGCTTTGGGCCAAGCTGGACAAGCGGGCGGCCCACAAATGCTACAACCGGGGGAAAGCCTGTGCGGGCATGCGGGTGCGTGGCGGCGTCTTTTCTCTATTCCTCCTGCCTCTTTCAACATTTCTTGCCCAGTGTGTAATAAATGTAAATGTGAGCAGTCTAAATATGACCAACGCTGTTCAACCTGTCTAAGTGTGGGGCAGAAAGAACGATGGTCACGGTGTATGTACCATGCTGTCCACAATCTCCACAACATCGGTTGCACAGTGCAGCTCTGGTAACATGGTCACTAAGTGTTCATGCTGTCCATGTTGTCAAACACTGTTCCATGTCCACATCGTGCCATGTTGTCTGCACTGTCCAACATTAAGGCATGTGTCAGATCGCCTCAATGTTGTTTGCTTGGTCCACATCACATCAGCACATACTGTCCATTTGACAACATTCACAATATTGGTCCCACTGTCCCGTGGCATCCTACACTATTCTATGTCCACACCGTCCCATGTTGTCTGCACCGTCCAACATTGAGGCAGTGTAAAGATTGGTTGCGCAGTCCAAACCCCAGCATTGGTAATTCACATTGTCATAATGTTGTTTGCTCTGTCCACATCACATCATCATATATTTACTGTCCATGTGACAGCATTCATAACATTGGTCACACTGTTTCATGTTGCCTGCACCGTCCAACATTGAGACAGTGTAAACATTGGTTGCACAGCCCATTTCACAGCCTTGGTCATTAGCATTGTCACAATGTTGTTCGCTCTGTGCACATCACGTCATCGTATACTGTTCACATGATAACATTCATAACATTTTTCACACTGTCCCATGTTGTCCACACCATCCAATATTTTCACAGCATTACCCAAATAAGCCCTACCTACACTGGCACTGGCTCCTGTACTGTGGGGCCTGCTATCACATGCACAAGACGCAACAGGTGTTTAAATGCATGTATCGCTGCTATCCTGATGTCGGAGTGGCTCAATGTCGACTTGCCTTAATTTTAGTTATTTTGATACAATATAAGTTCTAATTCCATCCCTGTAAATCAAATATGAGGACACTGTCTCATGTTTCTCTCTCTGCCCAGCAATGAGTCACTGGGAACATTATTCACATAAGTCCATGCCACTGCTTTTGTCACATGGTCACAATGTTCTGTCCATGTTACAGTATTGTTCGAGCTTCCTCTTCCTTATTCTGTACTGTCCAGCATCAAGACAGCATGCCCAACATAAGCTAGACCTCAATATTTCTTTATAAGCTATCAATTGCTGTACAGTCAAACCTCTTTAATACGTACCCGCTTAATATGTAACTGCGGTTTATACGTAGTAGCGAGGAATCCCCCGCCCTATCTCCATTGAACCCCATGTATTGGCTGACCGCTTAAGCCGTAGTCGCTTGTGGTGTTATGTACGGTTAGTACGTACTATTTTCGTTCTCTTTATCCATGCACAGGCCGAAAATCGGCAAAATTTCGTGCGCACAGACGGTCGATACACTCCATGTGGCGATCGGACAACAACCACCAGCGATAGTGACGTCACAACATGGCCACGATGACGTATTTTTTGCGCGTACGTCTGTTGCCGATCCCATTGTGCAAGAGCATGGCCTTCAAGATCGGTTTTTGGTAACCTAGGAATTCTCGATTGCTGGTCCCGGTAGGGGGTGCAAATTCGCTGTCGCTTTCAATCCAAGCCAAGTACGTATTCTCAACGGCTCCACAGCGTCGAGCCAGGCTGAGCTCGTTTCTTTATTCGGTCGTTAGTCCTCACTTTCCCGCAGTGTTGGTCGTGGCGGCGGTGTGGTGGTGTTGCGTTACTTACGTTCTTGTGCGGCGTGTTGTGTTTTTTTTTTTTGTTGTTTTTTTTATTCTTGTGTTGTGCGCGAGTGGTGCGATTAAATTCGCACACTAAAACTTCTTACTATGCCGAAGTACCACGTCTTGAGCGTAAAGGAAAAACTTGAAATCATTCGCACTATTGAAAATGGGGCCAAGAAATCTGCGGTAGCCCGCGATAAGAACTTGCCGCTGACTACTGTATGCGGAATTTGGAACGCTCGCGAAAAGTTGACGGGAGGCACAGACAGCGATTTGAAGAGGTGCCGCATGAGAGACTCAGCTTATCCCGAAGTGGAAAAGGCCCTGCTTCTCTGGCTGAAGAAGGCGCGGAGCATGAACCTGCCGGTTAGCGGACCCCTTCTGACCGAAAAAGCCCTAACTTTCGCAGATCAGCTGAACTGCCCCGGTTTTGCCTGCAGCAACGGCTGGTTGTCGCGGTTTTAAAGCCCGCTACGGCATCGTGGGGAAGGTTGTTTGTGGTGAGGCTGCTGCAGCAGACAAAGAAGGCGCTGTTGAATGGCAGGACACCGTTTTGCAGGAAGCCTTGACAGCCTACGATGCCGCCGACATTTTTAATTTTGATGAGTCGGCACTTTTTTATTGCCTTCTTCCAAATAGGACATTGGCATTTAAAAATGAGACGTGCACCGGCGGGAAACACGCCAAAAATCGCATATCGGTCGCTTTTGGCGTAAATATGACCGGTAGTGAGAAGCTGCCACTGATGGTCATTGGCAAGTATGGAAACCCGCGGTGCTTCAAAGGCGCTCGGCTGCCATCCGGTGTTGTTTACAAGCACAACAAAAAAGCCTGGATGACAGCCCAGCTGTTCGAGGAGTACGTGCGCCAGCTGGACCGCCGTTTTGCTGCCAAGAAAAGGAGCATTTTGATAGTGCTTGACAATGCGTCGGCGCATGTCGATGTGGGTAACCTGTCGGCTATTAAGCTGTTGTTTTTGCCGCCCAACACGACAGCGCTCGCCCAGCCCCTCGATCAGGGCATCATCCGCTCTGTCAAACAGATTTACCGCAAAAATCTTTTGCGGCGGATGTTGATCGCCATGGAGAGTGCCAAAACGTACAGTATAGACCTCCTGGGTGCTATACACCTGCTTGCACACTCATGGATGCAGGTGCAGCCTGCAACGATACGGAACTGTTTCGCGCGAGCACAATTCAAGATGCCAGAAGAAGGCAACGACGAGAACATGGAGGATAACGAGGATGGTGAGGACACCGAAGACTGCGAGAGCCTCCTTGTTGAGGTGCTCGAGCGGCAAGGAGAGGGAGTCGACAAGTTCAACTTCGGCACTTTCCGAGATGTGGACGGAGACGTCCTTACATCCCCGGACTTTTCCGACAGCGACATTGTTGCCGCCATCGCACCTCGTCCCGATTCAAGCGAAAGTGAGGAGGAGGGCGATGTCGAAGTGGACGACGGCCCCTCGTTATCCGAAGCTGCGCGTGCTGTGACTGTGATGCGAGCCTTCGCCGAGAAGCGTGGCCTAATGGACCGGCTGGCTCGCGGCCTCACCGACTTCGAAGATGCCGTCGTCGAGGCAAGGCCACCACGGCGGCAAGTGAAGATCACAGATTTTTTTGCTGCCTGTCCATAAATAAAGCTGGCGTGCCGGCGTGTGTGCGCGCGCGTGTTTGTGAGGATTGTGGCCTTCTTTTCTGACCGGTAAGTAGCCGCTAAACTGGCACTGACGGTTAATTCGTACATCGCTTAATGCGTACCAAAACGTCATTCCCGGCCAACTACGGTCTAACGAGGTTTCACTGTACGCATGAATTGTGTCTTGATTTACCAAGGTGTGTTGTCTCAGTTAGTCTCGCAGCGACATATTTTCACGTCAATTGTGGGCGACATGACATTGAAACATCTCGAAGTTCTTATTGGTTTTTATCCGTCCAGGTTCTAATCATCGGAGGTGGTCCGTGTGGCCTCCGCACGGCCATCGAGGCGCAGCTTTTGGGCGCCAAGGTGGTTGTGCTGGAGAAGCGGGACCGCTTCTCGCGCAACAACGTCCTTCACCTGTGGCCCTTTGTCATCCATGACCTTCGCAGCCTTGGGGCCAAGAAATTTTTTGGAAAGTTCTGCGCGGGCTCCATCGACCACATCAGTGAGTAGTGGACACCCTTTTTAGAGTTACTTTTACATCTGTCATGTGAACCGTGACGGTTGACATGAAGGCAAGCATGCTCATTACACTGTCTTCCTGTTCCTGAGTTGGGCCAATGGTTGCTCTCTAGTCACCTGTGCTTTTCATATTCTGCGAGTACAGTCAAGGACAATGTGAAAGGAAACACTGAAATTATGGAAAGGCCATTTGTTGGTGAACGCAGCCAGATAGTGTGAAAATGTTTGTAGCAATAAGCGTTCAAGCGAAAAAATACCTTGTACAAATAGCAAATCGCATTCATATTTTACGTCCTGCTGTGAACAATATGCACGCATTATAGGTAATCACTGCTTTCTCATACACTGACTCAGTATTCCTTTCCATATTGCTCCTGACCGATCGGCTTGATGATGAAAGACCTTTCTGCCCTTAAATGCATCAATAGTGTAGTTTTCTTTTGTATATGCATATTCTCGTCATTATCTTTTACTTTTTCAGTCATAACTAAAGAAATGAACAAGCCATTATTGACCATAAGTGGTCTCGAGATGTCTACCCATTTTGCATGCCCGTTACCACGATTAGCTAAGGTAATTCTCGCAAGATGTCCCAGTTTCTCCTTCCAAAGATGGCCTGAATGCGTCCATGTGTGTAGATCTATTTTTCATGCTGCATGGTTATACTGCTATGGCACAGTGTCATATTCTATTAGAATACCACGACAAAAACTGATTCCATGCAAGGCAGAGAAGGCAACCTTTTTTGAATATTTGAAAAATGTTTTTTTCTGTGTTCTACACTTGAAAAAAATGTTGCTTTCTCTGCATTTGTAGAGTTTAATCTGTGTGTTGATTCCACAAAACACTATAAGAGGCAGTGGTAGTTTGAGAATGGTTTAGAGAAAACTATTTTAGTAGTAACCAGTTAATAAAAAGCTTGCCCTAATAGCTCACTCTCTGCTAGATTGTTTGTTGTTCTTGTGAATAGGTAAACAGAGAAAGCACAAAAAATGTGCGTAACTGCTGGATTAAATTGTGTGCAAGGTTTTCTTTTGCATGAATTGATGTTGAGAATTTAATGTGCTGTCTCTTTCTTTATTGTTTCGAGAGATGTATTAGTTAGCGGAGCAGCTTGCTAATAAAAAAGAAGTTATGCTTTTGTTTGAAACAGGCTCCCATTATTGAAGTTTGTCTCCTTCAAGGTTGTTTTCTATACTGTGTGTTTTATTTGTTATTATGCTCACTATGACATCATTTACCATTTTATTAAAATAAAAAAAACCCTCACTTCGCCTTGTTTTCAAGCTTTGAGATGCTGTTAAAGCAACAATTGCATTATGCCCACTGTTTTGGCGATAATGATCTTGTGCCTGTTTCGTTAGTTTGACACCTGAATGAACCGTATTGAATCAGTTTATTAAAATTTCCCAATGCAAGGCAAGCTTACGGTCAAGGCTTTGGAACTATTGTGTACGATTATTGACCAAATCTTTTGTTCTGTGCAGGCATCAGGCAGCTACAGCTGATACTCCTCAAGGTCGCGCTCCTCCTGGGGGTCGAAGTACACGAGAACGTGACCTTCAAGGATCTTCTCGAGCCACCCGAAGACCAAAGCATGGAAAGTGGGTCAAGTTAATTCGTTATTTCACAAGTTAATTCATATTGTTACGTGGCCGTGACGTTGATGAAAGTAGCAGTCGACGTGTTTAAGACGAAGGTCTTTATTTGGGCCAACCTGTGTCTAGAAACCGAAAACTCAAACTACAGCAATTCAAGCTCTACCCTGATAACGGTGAACAGAGTGTCAGCCATTGATGATCTGATCACTGGCGCAATGCGTTGTCTTTGATACTGTGGTCATCCTTTCAGCGTTATTGCTGGCGGTCGCATGATCTCATGAATTAACTCGACTGTTGGGGTCCTGCATGTAATCTTAACAGATGGAGCCCAAACAATCAGGAAACTTTCAAAACAATCTGGTGCGTTTTGCAATAAGTGTTACTAACAGTCTTTACGGGTGAAACTTGGACATGCCAAAACAAAGTGATGCATACAGGCAGCAGTAAGTTTGTAAATCTATTGAAGTTGTTTGTGTGCATTGGGCTTGCAGGACTGGAAGCATATACAGTGCTTGGCGGTTAATGCTCTAAAATCTGCCTGCACGAAGGCTGGTTGTAATTTGTGCTACTAGTAAGCTTTGGGGACACCTCAGATGATGCGTGGTGTAAATGACAGCACCAGTTCTCCTTGTAATGCATTGTGAAGGAATTGGACTCCCATGCAACCACTCTGTGCTCATCTCATTGGAGCCTAGAAATGCGTCGGCGGCCATGCAAGCTTGTTACAATCAATGTCTGATTTATTGGACTCTCGAGGGACCGTGAAAACGTCAGAAAATTCAGGCAGTCCGGAAAAAAAATGGCAGCATATCCACGGGGGTGAATAATGGAGAGTGGGGCGAAGCATCCGTCCGTCCATTCGTTCTTGCTTTCGTCCGTCCATCTGTGTGACTGTTCGTGCGTTCATCCGACCGCCCATGCGTGCATCCATCCCTGCGTCCGTTCATGCGTCCGCCCCTGAGTACGTCCATGCGTCCATCCATCCGTGCAGCCATTCGTGTGTCCGTCCATGCATCTGTCTGTGTGTCCATTCATCTATCTAGTCAACACTCCAAGTAACTATATCTCGCATCTGTTCATAATATATTCCCCATATAGAAGCACTGCCATCCAGCGGACATTCCAAGGACCGAACGAGAGGAGGCACACGCACACTTTCTTATGGCTTGTGCTTCGTGACTACTTCCCATCTTTAACCACCTCGAGTTCATGGTATATACTAGTTCACTGTATTCATGACACTGCGGCCCAACGCTCGCTAAACCTTTCTAAAACCTAGGAGGTTACACCCAGCGAGTATAACGTAGCAACTCTTTCTTGTCAGATAGTGCTCAATGTACATGCCAATGGCTGCTAATGGGGAATGAGGGACAAGAGAATTCGGCTTTTAGTTAACGTGCACGCTGCAAATTTTTTATTGTTCAACAACGCACAGGAGAAATCTCCCACTGGCACCACCTTACAGGTCAAAGTGTAAGACATTTTACGTACTGCAACGAGGGACAAACGGGTGCCGCTTTAAGGAGCTTTGCCCCTAAAACAAATGCAAACGAAAACACACTTCTTGATTGGTATGTTTAGCTGAGGGGGGAGTCACGGCAGGAATACAGGATTCTATTTGCAATTAAGCAAATGCATCGTTTAGGTGGCTCTGAAAAGAGCCATTTGTATTTAAAAAAAAACAACAGCGAAAGAAATAAAGAAAAGAAAAAAATTCGGTGTGGCCAGTGCTACCGCATTTGTAAGCACTTAGGCAAGAAAAAAGATAGCTTATTTTCATTTATGCCATTCCACTTGCCGACAATGTTGTCTGCCTCAATTTCAGCTAGCATCATGCTGTCGCTGTACACCGATGGCAGTGCTTGCGTCAACTCCGAGCTCGATGGCTGTGTAGGTACTGCTTCTTCGATCTCGGTGTCACAGTCGTTGGAATCCTCCGTAACTTTACGAACGACTTCGTCATCAGTCAATTCTGCACACAGCTCGAGGTCTTTGTCAGTATCGGCGAAGTTCTTAAAGATTATCCCGGTTAGAATCAAAGCACCGGCAGCGTGCAGATCGTCAAATGCAAAAGTACACAGCTGGAAGTTCGTTCCACACGCTATCGACTCCTGGCGAGACAGCTGTCTTGGCATCCAGTATGACTCGCGTGGTTAAACCAGTTCCAGAGGGTTTGTTGTGAAACTGCCTTCCATGGGTCTTCAAGCATGCTCACGGCAGATTAACAGCATAGTTTTCCCAACTGTCGGAGCACAGGCAGCATAGCACCAGTGACAGCACTATGTGGCTGTCGCCACAAATTTGACTGAGCTACAGCTGGCAATGGATTGGTGTGCGCTGGATCGCGCCATTTGCGGTTTAGAGGGTACGGAATTTGTGGCGTGGTCAATTCGAGGGTACGAAAACAACCGAAATAGCGACCTCGATAGTAACTTCGAGTCTGGTTAGCAGTAAAAAGTCAGCAAAATCAGATGGCAAAAGCGATAAACATTTCAGAATTTCACACTTTTTAATACATTGACTTTATTGGGAATTTGATGGTGCCACAGATGAGTCTGGGAAATTGGGCGTGTGGGGCATTTCGGGCGTCTGAGAAACGAGATGTCGACTGTATCACTATCGAATCACTATATGCTGCACCGTAATACACTCAAACCTCAATATAACACACACAGATAGCATGAAATACCGGTTTAATGAAGTAATTAAAATAGTCTTGCAGTAGATACAGTGTTGGGAATAACCTTAATAACAAACTTTAAAATGTAAGGAGCTTATTTTTTTGTAAGGTGCAACTTTGTTATAATGATGTTTGAGTGCATACTAAGCACTTGAAGCAACGACATTGATTCTTTGAGTATGAGTAAAAATGTGAAGTTCCTGTAAATAGCATCTCACTTGGGCTGCTTCTACAAAGACCTCATTATAAACTCTCCTTTGATGGCAGGGCATTGTTTATAGTGGAAATTTGATTTCGCAGAGATATTGTTATTGTCAAGCACTGCTTTGTAATAATTCGGAACTGAATGTGCAGTGTGCTATGTTGGAACTGGTACAAGCGTGGGCGTTTCGTTACCGCATTTCCTGTGTGACCTTTGAGGCTGTTGCAAGTTGTCTAATGCACCTCTTTGTTGCTTGCATCCCTCGCCATCTTTTTGGCTGACAACGTTAAACGTTATTGAAAAACAGGTTACTGACCAATGTCATTGACATTGGTCAGTGACCTGTTTTTCAATAATGCCTTTACCTGACGAGACGGTATTCCGTCGAACTCACGACTTCAACATTAAACGTTGTCAAGTGATTGATTTGGCTGCACACCTCCTTTCAGAAATCGGGTGGCGTGCTCAAGTACTTCCTGCTGATCATCCTGCGTCTCAGTACGAGTTCGACGTGCTGATTGGCGCGGATGGGAAACGAAACACGCTCAAGGGTAAGTAGTGAGCTATCTTTTTCTTTTTTCAGACCAGCGTTGCACATGCGAGATACTTTCTCATCACTTATCAGTAAAGCGGGCTGGTATTGGGGGCTGGTATTTTTTTCTTTCACAAGTCTTACAAAAAATAAATAAAGAAAGAAAGAAAAAAGCCAGTTTTATGCTGTGAAAACTGTCAGACAATGAATCTTTAAGTGCGTGAGTAGTATCCATGACTGGCATGCAAGATCATGTGGTGTCGTAAATCCTCCACTAGATTTGAAATATGCGCACTTATACTTGATTGGAAAAAACAAGATAATGCGACCTCTGGGTTCAGGCAATGAAGTTCAAGCGAACACTTAGCATCACGTAATTTCCTGCTGGCACATCTGCAATGTCATTAAGTGTGTGTTCCCTGCTGTCACAGACGTAGGAGGGCAAACTCACCCATGAGTCGACTCGCTCAGACTCGTTTAAACTCAAGCCGTGAGTCTGAGTGAGCCCGGGTGAGTAATATTTTGGCGAGCCCTAATCTGAGTGAGTCCGGTTGTCGAAAATTTTGTTGAGCGTTAGTCTGCGTGAGTTTGGCACAGAAAAATTTTGGTGTGGTTGAAACCGAGCGAGTGCAAAGCACAAATTATAGTCGAATCTCATTAATTCGAACACGCTTAATTCGAACTTCCGGTTAATTTGAACTCGCGCTGAGGTCCTGTTAAAGCTATGTGTATCCCAATCGGCGAAAACGCCCTGTAGTTTGAACGCGCCAGCACTTGCAGTGGTTAATTTGAACATACCGCGCTCCAAAAATGCTCTCACCACCACGCCCAATCCTGCGGCGGCACCTCAACGCTGTGCGCGAAGGAAAAGAAAAGGAAAGAAAAGGCTGCGGGGGAATGTTTGCTCTCTCTCAAATGCGGATCTGCGACACGCCTGTGCCACGCTTCTCCCTTCTTTGTCGCTGCCACGTAACGACGTTTCTTTTTCCAACGCCGTGCGTAAAGAGAGAGAGAGAGAAACAAACAAAAAAAAGCTGTCACGTAGTGTTGGCTCACTCTCACATGACGGTGCCACGCTTCCCCCTTTCCCACGCCTGCCTGCCACCATATACCCTTCTCCTTTCAAAGACGCGCACGAAGAAAGCAAAAAAAAAAAAAAAAAAAAGCTGCCGTGGCGTGTTGGTTCTCTTTCAAATGCCCATCTGCCTCTCTCCACATGGAGATGCTCCTCTTTTCTCGTCATGTGCTTGCCATGCTGCGACTGGGTGGCAGAGCGTAGTAGCGGAGATGCAGTCGTTTTCGTCGTCTTTAGAGAGTGTCGGCGCTGGACATTGCCACGCCCCACTTCTCTTGCCAAGAGAATGCTGAAGCCGAAGTAGAAACGCTTTGCAAGTTGCGTGCGAAATTGATTGACTCGTTGCAAGGCAAACGTGTGCAGACATGCATCACCAATTACTTCAATTAATAACGAATGTCCTGTGATTTGTGAATACACTGTAAGTCCTCTGAAACTTCCCCCTCGTGTGTTAGCTCAATGCACATGAGCCACTGCGTGGTGAGTCCTCCATTCATTTAGCTTTCATTAAAGGGGTTTTTGAACACTATTGAAGCACCTATTTTTTATCTGTGGTTTGCATAGACTGATACCTGTAGATAATTTTAGTGTAGGTCTAAGCAGCGATATCAAATGATTTAGTATTTTAATCACACAATAAAGTCACTACATCGCTGCCGACCGCATTACCATGTAGTGGCGCTCGCCAGAACTTTGCGTGCGGAAATGACAACGCAAGGTTGCCACCATATCATTGGATAAATGTAACATTAGAAGTGATCTTGGTGTAGGATCAAAACTGAGATTACTAATCTGTTTCATTTTTCATTGTGCTTTTTTATCGAACCCTGAACAGACGCGGCCACAACAAAAAAAGATCACTGCGAGATTTCGCCACTAGTTTTGGCTTGTGCGGGTCGGATGTATATATGAAAGACCTCTCTCTTTTTCTTCTTTCTTCTTGCTTTATAGAGTTTGCGAGCTGCCTCTTTCCGCACGTGTGCTGTTGAAGGGGTGCAGTGCACCATTGTTGTTCGCTGGGCAGCTCACTGAACAATGTGCGAAGGGTCGACAACACTTCACCGTCTTTGTCATTCCGCAAGTTCCATTCTCAAAATAAGAGGACGGATCGACTCAGACTGTTGTAAAAAACAGTAGAAATTACCTAACTTCGACACAGTAGCTCCCGCTCAAGTTCTGCAAGCATCACGCTTGTTACTGTGGCAAAAAAGTCAACATGACTTTAAAAAGAAGAAAATAAAAAAGCAAGCAACGATGGGGTGCGAGCTACGCCTACATAGGCGCTTCAAGCTTATTTCATTGGGGCAGCCTTCCGACGTCATGGGTGAGTGAAATGTGATCAAGTGACCCCGTGAAAATTGAGCTGAGGGCCAGCATTTTTCTTTCTTGTATTTTGAATATTCTAAGTCAAATAACTTCAAATTGCGAGCCGTTATCACTGCCTTTTTTGCTGCATTAGTCTGTCTGTCCTTCACTATACATAACCCACAAATAAAACATGGGGGTTTGAATAGTGTTGGAGGGCCCCTTTAGTTCAAACTTCTTTTAATTCGAACACATTTTCGGGCCCCTTTGAGTTCGAATTATTGAGATTCGACTGTATTTCTTGAGTGAGTCTGAGTGAGTTCCGCTTTCATTTGCCGGCCTATGGTGACCTAGGTGCATTGGCCTAGTTTACAGTTGCCGATGGTTTATTCAGGCGCTGAAAATTTGGGCGTGCCTGTTCGTTTGGACATGTTCGCGACACCGCCATTTTGTCCGATGAAAGTAGTGTAAACTCACGACTGAAAATTTGGACGCCACACGTGGCACCATTTGATTCCGACTGGCTGATAGAGTGGGACGTTGAATTCCATGACCAGCTGTCCGCGATGTTTTCAATATCTTTGCTAAATTGCCAGTTTTTAGCATTCAAAACATTGGACGGTGGCCTGCACTGGCTATATCTAGATATAATGCCAGTGCGAAATTTCATCTAGAAACAATGCTCGATCTTGAAGGCTATGTGTTTAGGCTACGTGTAAAGGCCTTTTTTTTCGGCTTTAGCTAGCCGAGTATTCATTGAACAGCTGCCACGGCCAAACTGCAAGCCAATCCAAGACGCACTTTAAGTCAGCTAGGTGTGATGTTCGAGATGGCTACGCATGCAGAACGGACAACGAGAAGAGTGAACCACAAGTGCTGCAGCACAAACTAATCTGATGTCGTTCCCTTTTGGCATTTTAAGAGTTTGCTGGTCAGTTGTTTCTGTTTCTGCAGTTAGGCCTGATGTGAGTTTCACTCTCTTTGTTGCTTCATGTGCGAGCCCTGACTTACTGAAAGGGCTGTGCCTTTGATGGCAGCTACAAGATAGTGACAACGGTGAAAGCGCCATAATTATTCATCATTTGCCAGCAAAAGTGGCCGACCTCAACTTGATGTCGCTTGGGAGTTTTCGCCGAGTTGGACGGTGATGAGATAGTCTTTCAGATTCCCCGAATCGGCGCAGGTAAACAGTGACTCTGATGATTTGCCGCGCACAGCACAGTTTTAAAACGCAAATTTGGTGCAGGCCGTAACAGCACTACAACCTACAGTTATGGCCAATCACTAGCTGAAATAGGATATGACTTTGTCGTCTGTGATCGTGCTTGTGTGCAGACATGCCTTGACGAGTTCTTTTGGCTACCAGGCCAAGAAAGGTGCTCGTTTCTGGTGAATGGTTTTTTTTTTATTCTGACCTTTTAGCAGTTTTATCAGAGTGATAATAAACGTTTGGCAATAGTGCTTCAATTATTGTATCTAATTAGTGTAATTAATGAAAGTAAATTGCTCACCTGACATTTCCTGCCGATAGTCATCATTATATTTTTTGTTCTAGTGTTTACTTTTTTTATTCACCCCTTCCTCTGGTACCAATTTGACTACTACTACTACTACTACTACTACTACTACTACTACTACTACTACTACTACTACTACTACTACGACTACTACTACCACTACTACTACCAGTTTTACAAGTACTACTGCTTCTAGTACTACTACCACACTCTAGCGGTACTATTACAACAGTAACACAAGGCATAAGACAGCATTGGCGGGAAAAAAACAGCTCTGCTTGCAAACCTTTTTGCGAGACTACAGTTCTGAAGACTCGAGATTTCTCAAGGGAGTGTCCACTTCTGTTGGAACAGGCTTCAACCGGAGGGAGTTCCGGGGCAAGCTAGCAATCGCCATCACCGCCAACTTCATGAATCGGCACACTCTGGAGGAAGCACGGGTACAGGAAATCTCGGGGGTGGCCTTCATCTTCAACCAGAGGTTCTTTCAGGTGACTAACATGTATTCTTCACGCTTTCGTAGCTTGCAATTAGTAGGCTCCAAAAGCGCCCCCGCTTCACTCGGCTGTGCAGCTTCGTGGGAGAAACTCGCGCTTGCGTTTGTTTCTCTGGCTTTGCAGGATATGAAAGAGAGCACGGGCATCGATTTGGAGAACATTGTATATTATAAGGATGACACGCACTACTTCGTTATGACTGCCAAGAAGCAGAGCCTGCTGGAACGCGGAGTCATCGTTGATGTGAGATAGTCTTTTTGTTTTGTTTTTTAAATCCTTCGTTTTTTTGATGAAGTTACGTTTGTTGTGATGTAGCTAAAGGGCTGGAGAATTTGATAGTGGTTACGAGAGAGAGTGGGAGAGGGCGGTACTTGTATCGATAATGTGTGTGTGCAATGCACAGGTGTGGCAGAAGCTGGAGATAAGGGAAGTGCTTGAGGGATGTTGAGAGTTACAGTGTTTGGGGATAATAGGTGGGAAGTTGAGTGAAAAGTCATTGTCAGGACTTTCACAGTGCTATGATGCTTTCCTTAAGGTAGGATGCTGCATTTGAAAACATTAAAAATATTTTGAATTGATTTTTTATTCATTTTGGCAAGTTTGCAAATGTCTACCGTGTGGACATCTCTTTCTTGTGCATTATGCAGTTTGTAAGTTTTCAAACACTCCATGTGCGTTATGTCACTATGATCTGGAAGGATGTAAATAAAACAAGAATGGATGTCGTAAACTGATTTAAACAAAAGTTGTAGTATGTTGCACATCTGTGAGTGTAATTGTCTTGATGTTAACAGGACTACAGCGACACGGCGCGGCTACTATCGCCTGACAACGTAGACCGGAGTGCCCTCAAGGAGTATGCGAGGGATGCTGCTGACTTTGCCACGGGCTACGCGCTGCCCTGCCTGGAATTCGCCGTCAACCACTACGGTCAGCCGGACGTGGCCATGTTCGACTTCACCTCTATGTACGCCGCAGACAATGCTAGTCGTCTTCTCGAACGGCACGGCCATTGGTTGCTTCAGGGGCTCGTTGGAGACAGTCTTCTGGAGGTTGGTGCACGCTGCTTCTACGACGGTTGGCAGTAGTTCTAACAAGAGAGCGGAGTGTGATGTTGGGAAAGTTGGTCCATGGCTTAATGAAGTATTTGTGGTGCAACTGAGAACAAGAAATCAAACAAAAGGAGACAGGATGGGATTCTGGGCCTTCAACTAGTTTCACTTTTGCACATCACCCAAATATATAAATGTCCAGAAATGAGTTTGCTTTTCTGGTGTCTGATTCAGTATTATTATATCCTTGTTCTCAGTTCTGCAACAAACATTCGATAGAGCTATGAAAATGTAAGGTTCAATGTTGTAAGAGTGGGATCTTTTACCCATACAGTCGAACCTCGATATATCGAACGGCGCGGTGATTGCGAAATAGTTGGATATATACAGAATTCGATATAAAATATCACGAAAAAAATGCGTCAACAGTTTGCTGAAAACGACCAACGAACCGTTCAAGCGTGGTGCAGTAAATACTCGCTTGAAGATTCAAACAGGGTATTTATTGTGTTGGTTTAAAATATTGAAAAAGAGTAGCCTGCTTTTTGTTGGCCATGGCGTGTTTGATGACTGCGTCCTCAATATAGTCCAGGCGATCCATAAGTGATAGGCCGGTGCCTTCAATCGCACCGCAGTGGCGGCGCACAAAAGCCAAGGCAGCTACGACCTCAGCTGATGTCGGGAGCGGGGCACCATCAGCGCTTGCAGGATCCACCTCGGCAGAGTCTTCATTTGGCTGCTCAGCAGTAGCTTCAGTGACAATCTCCACATCCGTGAGCTCCGTCGTTGTGAGCTCCGCCTTTCGGAGTTAGGCCTGTCGCGCACCACAGCGCGCGACAGGCCTAACTCTGAACGCACGAACACTGCGAGCACAACGACAGATGCCTGCCGATGCTACGGGGGAGAAGCTTGCAACAAGTGCGCAGTGTGCCGTTGACACCATAGAGACTGCAACGACTGCAAGCTGCAAGGCTGCGGCGTGAGTCCGGGTGTAAAGCGCGCACATGGCGCGGGCATGCCGGCTCGCCTGACTGCTTTCCCTTTCCCGGCGGCAGCGCGGGCCGCGTCCGAGACAGTCGTCTGCGTCCTTTCCCTCCTATACTTTCCTGCTCAATCTTTACCTCCCACTCCCCATCCGCCCGCGCAAAGCGTGTCGGCGCTCTCGTATTGAAAGAAAATAAAAGCTCCGCGCTTTTCTCTTCACTTTCCTCATTCAAGAACCTCTACCGCAAGGCTGCGGTGCGCGTACGCCACTATGTTAAAGTGGCGTTCTCGGCGCCATCGATGTGTGCAGCATTCCTAAACGCCCGCCGCTCTACCGCTACTTTCTAGAGTTGCGGGAAAGCTCGCCGCCTGTCAATGGAGCGCGGGCGGTTTGGGGTGGCTGAGTTCGATATATCCATTATATTTCAAACTTTGTTCGAAATAAAAAATTAATAATGCATGCAGTTTCCCGCGTGATATAGGAACCGTTCGATATAGGAGCCGTTCGATATAGGCAATAATTCGATATATCCGTGTTCGATATATTGAGGTTCGACTGTATCCTGCACAAGTGTAACTGCGTACGTGTCTGTATGCGTATAAAAGGAAGCTTTTTTTCAAATAAAGTTACTTGAAAATTGACACCCTATATGGTCGCCTTCCTTTTTTTCATCTATGTGGGTCGTGTCCTTAACATTTCTTCATACTTGCGTTTCTTGACGCTAGATGGCCACACTTGTCCATGTTGGGCCATTAGTCCTGGCTTTTGTTTTATTGCCATTGTTAGTTGCATATCCATATGGTGAAGCCACCTACGAGTTATATTTTTATGCAGTTGACGAAACGAAGGAATTCCTAGAATTGAAAGAATGAAACCATTTCGTTCGAGAACAACAAAAAAAAAAAAAACAGTATGAAGAAAGTGAAAAAGGTTTTTCAGTAATTTTGATGTGTTTTTTCCCTCTTCTCTTACGGTAGCTAAAGGGTTAAAATAACGTTTCTTTCTTTTTTTCATTGACCCATATTTTGCATAGCTGCTACTGAGCACTCAGTTTTGTTTGATGAACTCACTGGTTTACTGTTTCACCACTCCAGAGCCGACGCTGAAGGCAGGGCTTTCAAGCCTTGCAAGGAAGCCTCTACTGCCACATTATCAATCGTTTACAATAGTCGATTAATTGTACTTGGAGTTTTGGTGGTTATTTACACCTAAACGTTTTAATGTTGAGGAAGTTGAGACATACGAGATGTGAAAATGGATCACTCCAAGTCTCTCGTCATGTCTTGCTGTTTTTGTCTCGTTGGCTCACTTTCCCCAGTGTGTGGGACTTGAGGTGTCTTTGGTCTTTGAAGCGTCTAAGCACACCGGTGACACATTTGACTTGTTTTCTGACTCGTTCTCAGCCTTTCTGGCCTACGGGATCGGGTTGTGCTCGGGGCTTCCTGAGCTCCCTGGACGCTGCGTGGATGATTCGTTCGTGGGCGGCCAACAGGGATTCCCCACTGCACGTAAGTGTCGGTTAGAGCAGGAAAGTGAGCTTGTCGATTGTGGTTAAAGAAAAATATGTTTGGTGCACAGGCACAGATAGCTTCTTTTTAACAGCATAGCTATTTAAGCCGGTCATAAAAACTTTGATGTGTATAAAGTAGTGTTTACAAAAAACTAGATCAGATGTGTGTGTAAGAAATTAGGCAAATCCTACTGTTCATTGCTGGTTCACTAAGAGTGAAGAAGGTGGCAGGTGGGAAATAACAACTATAATTAATCGACAGATGTAATCAGTAATTGGGGAAAGCTTTAGTTAACTGTTGGTGTTAAAAAGGGACACTAAAGAGTAAAACGATTTTTCATGTATTCGTACTGTGCAATTTCACGACCTCGAAAACACCACTCTTACTGGGACACGTCACTTGGTAAGCGAGAGAACACGCGAAAAGAAAATGGCCACCTTGAGATCCCTGCACACCACAATGTAAGAAATTTCAAAGATGTCTACCAAGTCCTACGTAGCCGCCAATCGATAAAAATAAAGTACATCATAATTTGTGGGTGCCATAGACTTAGCGTACGAAGTTTCATAAAATTTCATCGAGCCAATGCCACAAAAATACTGAAATTACATTTTGGAATTTGTGTCACACGCGGGCATTTTGGCGCAAAACGTGAAAATCGAACTTTGACCTTGATCTTCTCCGCTGCTAATGAAATTACGATAGTGAAATGTATGGAAATTGTGTTCTCAGAGTGCAGTTTCTCAATCTAAACCGCGTTGTTGATCCTTTTTAGTGTCCTTTTAACCCAGTGATGAACACCGTGGCTGCATGTTCCAACTTCATTGAAGCATCTGTATACTTCAGTGCTTTAGCGGCATGTGCAACAAGACAATACTAACAATGGGATAGGCAAAGGTACCTGCGAGAAAACCTCAAAGCAATGGAAGGTGCTACCATCCGAACAAGTTTCTCACGCACTCCAGACCACATTTCTTCTCACCCTTGCGAATGCGAGCCCTGTTTTCTTGAATCTTATGGTGAGCGGTGAACTGTCATTGGCCACTGGTTGAGAACCAGAAAAAAAGCAGCACGGAGCCCAAACAGATTTTCAGGACAACAACAAACACCTCAACTCAAGCCGCCCACGGCACAAGGCGACGCCTCGTTCCGAGGGCCTTGTGCCTTGGACCTTGTGCCGTAGACAAAGCGACACTATTGATTGCGATAGCGATGTAGGCATTTGACATCAGCTGTAAATAGTGGCCAGACTTCCAAAAATTTTCTGTATGTAAGGCAGGGGTGGACTTCTTGTGGTTGTTTTTTTTTTCTTTTCATGAAAATATTCGACCTATTTTTCAGTTTTTACAGTAAATGTAGCTTCTGCAGGCAAACATACCTAGCTTGGTTATTGGAAAGCAAGGCAGTGAAAATGCTGGTAAAGCTTTATATTTTTGGGGCCTCTTGGCTACAGGAATTTTGCGTCTCCCTTCCCTGATTCTGTCTTGTTAATGAAACCAAACCCTTGTGTGTGGAAGCTTAACATTATTTATTTTTCAAGCACAGCTGTGGGGTCAATGTATCGTTATGCTAATCTGCAAAAGGCAAATGAGGTGTTTATTTTCTTCTGTGTGAGTAAAAATTTGTTCTTTTCATTTTGACCTGTACAATGTTTCTTTTTATTTATGCCATTAAGCTTCTGTTAGGAAGGGAGCTTTTCATTCATTCATTTTTCATAAGCAACAACTTCACGGCCAAGATTCTGCCTTGTTTTCCTATAACATGAATTTGCTTTGCTTGGCCCACTCTTATTTTTCCAAGGTTCTCGCCGAGCGGGAATCCATCTACCGGCTGCTGGCGCAAACGACGCCCGAGAACCTGAGCAAGGACATGGCCGAGTACAGCCTCAACCCGAGCTCGCGGTACCCGAACCTGAACCTGCAGACGGTGCTGCCGTCTCAGGTGCGCCCCCTGTGTCGCACCGACACCGAAATCAAGCTTCCACCCCCAGGACCACGGTTACTCACCGACATGCAGCGCAAGCGGCGGCGCAGAGGTCGGTCATCACTTGAGCAATCACAGAAATTTCGAATGGGAACCTCTATTTCTCTTCAGATGTTCAGTGCAGAATATATGGGGAGATGAAACCGTGATTCATCATGGCATTCACAACTTCATACAAGCTAGACTAAAATTGGGTAGACACACCCCACTATTAAAACGAAGTAATTGTGATATCTCGATGTCTCCTTGCATGCACATGCGTGCATTACAAAAAAAAGTTGGAGGGTGCCTGAGCTTCATCTTTAGAGTAGAGTGCGATAGTGTAATTGGGCCTGTTCGAACCGTGTTCTTTATTGCTTGCCTGGCTTCACTGCTTGGTAACACCTTTTCTAGCTCTTCATAAGAGCCCCGTAATAATTATTCAGGTGCTTGAATGTAAATCCGTGCTTCCCCAGTGTACTCTGTACCCAGGTTGTGAAGTTAGCTGCTGTGCAGTGCTCTCAAATGAAAAATTACCTGCTCCAAAATGCTCCAAAACGGAAATCGTTGCTGCTCGGAAGATGAAAATTTGATGCTCCGAAAGTTGCCCGAAATTAGAATACTTTGGCAGCATCACTGAACTTTGGCGTCAACTTGCACAATGCACGAAAGCTCCAAGATGGAAACCTTTGCTGCTCCACAGCACTCCAAGTTAGAAATTTCGCTGTTCCAAAAGTGGCCCGAAATTAGAATACTTTGGTAGCATCAATGAACTTCGGCAGGAATTCGCACAATGCACGAAAGAAGAGAAATTATGATGCATGAAGGCATAGTAAGAATGTTTTGGAAAATGACTTGCATTACATTCAAGTTGCTGCAATGGTAGTGTAATAATGTGTGTGTCCTGCATAGGCAATCGTTGTACCCCATTAATAAGGGCAACCCGTAATCTGGAAAAAATTTTTTGGCATCTGATCTTTCCTCGTGCAATTGTTCCCCGTTAATATAAAACCTGTGATCCGGGCTATTAATGACTCGTTTGGGGACGAAATGGGTAAAAATGGACAGTTTTTTTTTTCTCGTTATTGCTCACACGTGTCCACAATGCAAAAAATTTCAGAAGCAAAGCCAAAAGTTGCACGCCCGTATGCGCAGCAACTTTTCAGAGTGGTGGGCACCCTGCAACGTGGTGAACCTGATGCCAAGCTGACACTACAGTGCGATAGAAGGCACCAATGCAAATTCACATTTTGTAGTCCTTTTGACCAATTATTTCTTTAACCATTATTTTTTTGGGGGGGATGAATATTTGTGAGGCCTGTGTCTGATTCGGTGTTATTGACAAGTGACATTATGGATCATTATTCCGGGAAACAAAGGTGTCCTTAGTAATGAGATGACTGTAAACGAAGGTGTCCTTATTAAGGAGACGACTGTATATATGGGTTTTAGCTGGTTGTATTGTTTTTGGGGACCGGAGTCTTAACATTGCGCTTTTTGCATTCTCTTTCATTACCAACTTTTGTGGCAGACTCCATCATCCATCCAGATGCGCTTCTCTCGTGGTGTCAGAGGCAAGTGGCGCTGTACAGTAAGATCAAGATTGAGAACATGACTTCCTCCTGGAAAGACGGCCTAGCGCTGTGTGCCATCCTGCATCGGTATCGGCCAGACCTCATTGACCTCGACGAGCTGTCGACTGCTGACGTGGCCGCAAACAATCAACAGGTCAGCTTGGCAAATGTTTGCAATGAAAGGAATACTGATCTGTTACATTGAAGTTTCAGGAACTCTTAAAAGCGTACTTCTCACACATCAAAATGTGGCCTCCTGAAATTGTGGAGATTATTGGAAAAATCTATAAGATGCTTTAGTTTGATAACATTCTAATAGCCATGGTAAAAGCAGCTAGCAGCGTCAGAGGGAGAACAACACAGAACAGGTGCTGAACTCTGGAGCTGAGTTGAGTACTGAACTTGGGAGCTAAAGTTTAGTGCCTGTTCTGTATCATGTATCTGTGTTTTTGTGATGCTTTTACTATAAAAATTAGTTAACCCACCCAATTGTATATGCTATTGCATTCTGTAACGTTCATGTCCTCATGCCACACATGGTATAATTATTGTTTGATGACATCGTATAGTGTGCACACTTGGTACGATGACATTGCTTATTAGGAAGACTTACTAGAGCGCTACACGTGTTTGGTCTGGTAAAAATGTTTATGCGTTAGCTTCACCGATAACAAAAACAGAAGCTGTCAGTTAATCATGGCATTATGATGCATCCACCGCATGAAGTCCTAAACTAGTTGATAACAGGTATTGTTGCAGCACATAAGTCAACACAGTTGATATTAACAGCTGGTCTGGAGCATTAAGAGATCAATTGAGAAAGGTGCTTGTTACAGCTGGGCCTTTTTATAAGAGATACTCAACAAGGAGAACTTCTTGTACGTTATATGATGGTTCTCTTATAAACAGGGCACCTTGTTTGAATTTTATTATCAACCCCTATTTCGATGTTGCACGTGCTGGCTTCTCTTATACCCATTTGTCTCTTACATCAGTGTTCTTTATATAAAGGGGTTCGACTGCAGGGTTCTAAGCTAGGAATTGTTACACTTTTCTGCAGGCCTTTGACATCCTGGAGCGCGAGTATGGCATCCCACCTGTCATGACTGGCCAGGAGATGGCCGACTGCGTCGTGCCCGACAAGCTGACCATGGTGTCCTACATCTCCCAGATCTATGAGACGTTCCGGCGGGAGATCCCCCAGGGTCGCCCCGCTTACAAGGTCAGCAAGCTCATTGAGGAGAACCAGCCGCCGCCGGCCTCGCCACTGAACCTGCTCGCCAAGCTCACTTCCTCCCAGAGACCAGCGAGCAAGCGGAAGTCTTCGAGCGAACACGAACCAATCAAGGACCGCAGTGACGGTCAGCGCCGTAGCAGGGTCTCAGTCACAAGAAGTCGGCGGAGCCGGGACCGGGTCGCGGACATCGTGGCCGGGGGCGATGCTGCCACTCTGGAACACTACCACAAGATCCTTTCGGCCATGGACAAGGAGTCGTTCGGGAAGCGGATGCAGGCCCTCCAGGAACAGCTCGGCAAGGACTACAGGCCATCGTCCCGGGGAAGCCGGGGTCGTCGGAGCGGCCACGTCTCTTCCGCAACGGAGGACGAGAGCAGCTCGGTGACGGGCAAGATACCGCAGACGGCAGTGGCTCAGCTCCAAGAGCAGCTCAACTCCATCGGCAAACCACCGCTCGTCAAGAAGCGAGAGCCCAAGGTTGGCCGCATCGGCAAGGACGAATGGAACGTCAAGATGCTCGAGGAACGGCTCAGGCAGCAGCAGAAGCGGCAGAAGGAGCCCAAAGTGGAGCCAGAGAAGCCGCAGATCCTCCGCGACATCTTCCAGAGCAAACGAAACGTCATGGACGAGCGTCTCAAGGCAGACGGGAAGGAAACTGAGACCGACCGCGCCCGCTTCACGCACATCGACGAGAGATTGCAGCGGCTAGACCGGCAGTTGAAGGAAGGGTCACTCGACGTCGGCAAGCGAGGATCAAACCGGGTGGCTGCCATGGCGGACTATATCGCCAACGTCCTTGACGCCCAGACGGGCCTCCGGGAAAAAAGGCCACCCCCTCCACCACCTGTAGTTTTATATCGAAGTGACTCTGCTGATGGGGCGAGAACGCCCCCTCCCAAAAGGCCGTTAGTTACGCAGCCACCTATGTCGCCTGCCAAGCAGGCACTGACTTCGAAGCAGCCAGCACCGACTCCAACAACGGCTAAGTTGACGGATAGTGGTGGGGATGGTGTTGTCGGTGTTAGTGGTGTCGGTGGTTCAGTGAGTGAGATATGCTGCTTCTGTCACAAGCGTGTGTACCTCATGGAGAGGTTAAGTGCTGAAGGGTTGTTTTTTCACCGCAACTGTTTCCGGTGCGAGTTCTGTCAGTGCAGCCTTCGGCTGGGTAACTATGCGTACGACAGCACCATTTCGTTCAAAGGTGAGCACCATTATTCTCTTTCACTTGAATGCCAAATGCGACTCGTGTCTTGCGGTTTTGACACAGCTCCCACATACAAGGTGTCTAAAAAGTAAGCATGCAGTGACTTAATAGAGGTATGGTAACTGCAAGTGGCGTCATGGTTTCTCATGTGATGTGATTGTGATGTCACAAGGCCTTCAGCCTTTCTGTCTGTTGACTGTTACTTCGTTCATCTGTTCGAGTTGAAGCTGTTTACCTAGTGGCTGGGATTCTCCAAGCCTGCTATTATTTACTGCATACGCACCTTTCGGCCTTGCAGCATATTATGCGGCACGGTCCATTTTCGCCCATGTTTGGTAAATCGAAAAAACTTGAACAAGCACCCATGTATGTAGTCAAACTTCCATAGAGTAAAATTTGCAGTTTCTTGACTTCTGTTCGTTAGTGTGCCTTACCAGGATCCACAGAAGTAACTCAGCATCCCAGGGCTGATTTAACATAGTCCTTGTGTACTGCGCTTATGTAGGTATTTTAATAAAATTAAGGGTGGCCTTTGTAGTTTAATGTGCAAGCTAGGCAAGTTGTGTTTGTCCAACGTGCATTTGATCCTTGCGTTAAATAGTGACACAATGCCAGTTGACTTCTACCTCGGATTAATCACATTCAAGTAGTGCCCATTCTGCCCTCAGCGTCTGTTCTAAAAAACAGGGGGCAGTTTAGCAGTTTAGTCAGAGAACAGCCATACTCTGACTGTTGGGAAAGAAATTGCGATTAGCCTAAGTGATCCTATGTTTGGGTTGACTGTTGACTGTACCTGCAAATATCGTAGTTACAATAGAAAATGGTCCAATCAAGCAGTGACCTGGTCAAAAGCAACTGAAAATGCACAAAGGAGTACACTGATAAGTTTTCTTGTCACTTGTAGAAAGAAGTCACTAATTTTCTGATAAGTTCTTGAACTCGTACAGTGCGTTACAGTAAAGAAGGAATGTTCGAGCAGACTGACACAAGGGGACAGAGCCCTCTGTTCATTGACGATCTGCTCGATCATTTTTTCGTCACTGTTATGCGCTATACTAGTTGAAATACAACGAAATAACTCCCCCATTTTTCAACACCCGTCCGACAAGTTCAGTATCTTGGGCTGCGCAGTATTCACACATTCGAACGGTTCCTATGAGCTCCATTGATCAGTGCATATGTGACACCAGGTGCAAGACATACTATACCAAATACACCATGCAAAGCATAGTAATGGGGTGTAAGATATGACGTGTTGGTTGTACTGATAGAATTTTAAACTTCACTGTTAAGTTGAACCTGCTTCGATCATTTGAATCATTGCTACAAGTGTCAGTGACGTCAACAGTTACTATGTTGCTGTGTTGCATTAAAAAACAAAAAAAAAAAACACTTGGAAGATTTAATTAGAGAACAAGCAGAGCTTGAAGCTACATAAAAGCCAGCATAGAAAAAAACGGAAGTTCAATGTATGCAGACGGCCAAACTGTTCCTCAGGATGCAGTAGGCTCTGAAACGTTGGATGCACCAGGTAGGCCACTTTAAAGTTAGAAACATCCCTAAACATCCTGGATGGCCCTCTCCCGTGTGTGTTAGAAACATCCCTAAACATCCTGGATGGCCCTCTCCCGTGTGTGTTCCTAACAATTCGTACTACCAGAAGTGTGTTTGGTACAAGTGCTTCCCGGGTGTGTTGCTTCCCATTCATTCTAACCAGACAGGTGTGGGAATAATCTGTTCATGTGGGGAACACATTACGTGTGCTTTGTGCTAGGTATTTCGGTTGATGAGGAACCAACTGTTTGCCATGTACTCTGAAAGTGCACCAGGCAAACACTTTCACTTTTGCTTTCAGTGGGCTCCTTATAAGTGGGCTATGCTGTAACTGATGCAGTGTTGAACTGGATTGTTGTAGCGTCAAATTACAACAGATTCGGTATTAATTCAGGATATTCTTGAAGTGCAGGGCAGTTCTGAGGCATTCGTTCCAATGTTGAGCATCATCGCCAAACCGGCGAAACCAACAGACGTGAAAAAAAATGAAAAAAAAAATAAAATACCCAGGATAGAACGGGATTTGAATGCGAGCCCTCTGTGGGGCAATCGAGTATTATACCTCAGAGTCACGCTGGTGCTTAAAACTCATTTTCAAAAAGACACTATACAGGCGTCAAGTTGAACAAGTAATTGTATTAACTTCGGTAATATAGTGTGGTATAAAAGTAAAATAAGAACTAGTCATTGCACATTGCTAATTATGCAGTGAGGTTGTTATTTGATGCTTCACACTCACTACAAATTCCTAAGCATAATATTTTGTCATCAGCCTCATGGAGCATCAACAAAGTGTACATAACACTTTACAGGTATGTTAAGCCAGTACGTCGCTTATCTGCAGAAACACTAGTAGTGGCGTAGTGGGTGCTATCCTACTTCATGAAAAGTTATGATTTATGGTGTGGTCGATATCTTGCGAGAAGCTAGAACTTCATACATTGTGGACCTTGCTCCAATACTAAACTGGGCTCAAAATTTGCGTTAGGCAGGGTCGTAATCATCGGTGATTTCTTTATTTATTGTTGTGCAATTTCTATTTTTTAATGCAAAAACGCTGGATTAGCCAAGTTTATCCATTAGCCATAAGTTGTCGTTCATGCATATGTTGCCTGCAGACATAATATGCTAGCATCTGTCTGCATGTGGCTTTGTCTTTTGTGAACCTGGTGATATGCCATTTGGGGCTCCCACAAGGTGGGAAATGAAATTGTGTCATAACAGAGCAGTTAAATTACCGGAACTTAAAGGACTTATTGCAGCAGTCTTGAGACAAGTGTAGTATCTACACCAGTATCTACCGTATTTACTTGAATCTAGACTGACCCCAATTTTAAGCCGACCCCCAAAAGTCCGAAGTCCGGAAAAAAGACATAAAGTTTGCCTCTAATGTAGGCTGAACGAAACAGCGAAGACAGTGTTCACTAAGAGAAAACATTTATTGAACATGAAGATGAAACAGAGCAGTTGGTTCATGATGCAATTAACTGCAGAAACGTACAGCTGGTGTTGGGTTGGTTGGTCTTTAAGTTCCTGGCACAACCCACCATGGGGGGAGCCACTAGTCCTGTTTTTTGTCGCGCTGCTTCTAGTTATTAGCATCATAGAGATGCCGCGTTTGCCAATGTCGCGCTCACTTCGAGTCATGGTCATCGCTTCCCTTGTCGCTGACTTCAAACAGTGCGCAATCCTCAGTGCGATCAAGCGCTTGGATATGCTGCACTTCTTAAAAAGGAGTGCACAATCAAAGTTCCTGGGATGTCATCACACGCTGCAGCCCCCCCAGCTACGCACATTTTTTTTGTCTACTCCGAAGTCCCGCCAGGCTTGAACGTTGGACGACGACTTCGTGGCTAGGACAACTTTCCTTTCATAAATGGCACCATCATGACACCGCCTATATGGCGCCGTTGAGCTGTGCCACACAGGAACCACTCGAAGCGCTACTCCAAATGACAAACGGCTTGCCTCAACTCTCGCCACAAAGATCGAAACAGCGGTATCACGTGTGTACTTAACATGAAGGCACTTAAGCAGGTGTTGGCTCGGCTACTAACGGCTACAATAACGCCTAAGTGGTGCCAGTTGTGCACCACTTTTCTTAATGAAAAATGGTGCGTTTTTCAAAATTCTCGATTCTGAGTGAATCCTGCAGTTTGACGCAAAGAAGTGAAAAAAAAAAAAAAAAACGACTATTGGCCTAGATTCGAATAAATACAGTATGTCCCGACAGACACTATAGTTGAAACGATCAGGACTTGTTCGTATTGACTTCCTTGGATTCTAGCATAAGAGTGTGGCCAGCACACAGCCACCATAAAATTATCGTCCCTAGAGAAAACTTGGGGATGCCTATAGGTATTGAATGCACATGCCTTGACCTGGTGATGAGTACAGGCTGGTGCATTTGTGCCACAAGACTACACGTGTGACATGCTTAGGACTTGGTTGAAACAGCTTAATGGGGTGTCGAGTGAGTCGGAAGTTCACTGGAGCAGTTGAATAAGAATGTGTTAGATGATATATCATGTAGCATATTACATCGTCTTAGCTGCAGGCTGTAAAGTGATAGAGTGAACTTTTTGTCTGGGTAGCCACATGTTATACTGTTGCTTGAACATTATATTGGATATGTACGCTTGGTGACAGCGAAGGCCATTTTGCAGTGTACAGGTGGAATTACAGTTGTCTAGAGCACCCAGGCATGCTCTTCAGCTGCTGCTTTCTGTAGAAATGTGCACAGACCGATGCCATAATGTAATGTAACAGTCGTACTGCATGCTGGGTCCTTTTGCTATAATTCAAACGTGAACAGAAGTTTCTAGCTAACATGACGTAGCAGCTGCGGACAACAACTGTGTCCACAGCCACGCGCTCCGCCACTCTAGACAAGTCTTTCTGTATGAAGCGTATGACACGTACAGGCTATGCATGACTGTTCATGCATGAAATGCATTCGTTGCCATGACATCATGTGAAATGGGAGAAAAGACAAATACTTTATTAATACAAAAAATATTGTGCTGTATGATCTTGCCTGCTGAACATGCATGCTCGATGGATTGATGCTTGACCACCCTTCTTACAACCTCTCCCCGCACCCTATACTCTTGTTCGCTTGCGGTGTGCTCTAATTATAAGCTGTAAATTACAGCTGTCTGTGGCAGCAAAAACTACCGGTCTGCACATTTTGTTTAGCCACACCAAGGGTGATGCACAGATGTGTGAGCACCATTTGTCGGAACGCTATCACGCAGGCAAGTTCTACTGCACGGCACACTTTCGCATGGAAAGGCCGAGCCAGCGATGGCAGGAGATGATGAAGCGCAAGCAGGCATTCCTCTCGGCCAATCCCGAGCCACCATCGTTAATGCCTGCCAAGCCAGCCAACACAGAGGACAACAGCACGTTGCATCGCAGACGTAGCCCTTCGCCGCCTCATGGAGGAGCCGGAGAGGGCATGGGAGATCCCACAATGATGCAGGAAGTCCGGTCAACTCCCGCAGGCACTGACGCCGGTGTCGTAACATTTCAGGTGAGGTCTGAGACCACTGACAGACCTGCATGTTTCAAAGGAGTACTGACACAATTTGAGTTTCACAAAGCAGGCATTTTCAGTTTTCTTGGTATGCACTGTTGATACTTTTCACACATTGGAGTCAGAAAACTTATGTGACACTCTTTGCATTGATTCTATGCCGTGAAAACCCGAGCAAGCATTCCCCACGTGGTGAAAAATCTCACAAGATTTGGATGGAGGCCCTTGGTCTCTGATCAGAATTCAAGATGGTGGCGGAAAACCTGCACGAGCTTCTAACAAACTACTGTACTGAGTATACATGCAGTCACCGTCGTTATTCGCCCTGGTTGAGCGAGTAAAAAGTATGAATGAAGCAGCAAAAATATAGGAAGGGCAGGGGGGGCACTTTCTCAGTTATTGTAGGATATTTCTCAGCTTGGCACCCCCTTCCAAAAAAAGGGAGACTTTTTGTCTCTGGGCGCATGCAAGTAAGCTCAGCCCAGGGGTGGATCCAGCCCCCCCCCCCCTTAGGGGGGGGGGGCAGTCGCCTGAAGTAACATTGGAGAAGGGTGTGGTCATAACTTTTTGTTTTTACTAGCAAAAAAACCGCTTCATAACATAAATACTGTTATTGAATGCTCACAGTGGTTTCACTCAGTTGTCCTAATTTCTGATAAGAGGTGGACAACAAGCACTGAAGTGAGGGGGTGGCTGGCACAGGCTTTGGGGGGGGCCCACAGCCCCTACCACCCCCCTTCTGGATCCGCCACTGGCTCAGCCCCATTGCAATAGGTGTTATCCCTATGAGTCAAAGCAGTTCCACTGAGTTTGTGAACTCTGCATCTTGCATGCAGTCTAAATAGCGGAAATCACTGGAGAGGTTACTTACAATACAGATGAAAACTGACAGACGATGACGCCAAGAGATGTAAGGGGGATGTCATTAGAAGTAATTGTAAAGAGAACGCCAAGAAAAAGAAGTAGACAAAAAGATAACTTACCACCCGCAGGATTTGAAGCTGCAACCTTCAAATAACGCGTCCGATGCTCTAACACCGAGCTAGAATGGCGATCGTCTTTACGTCCACTTTATGGGGTATATATGTGCATCTAAACGTGAGAGCGTCAGTCAGTGCCACCTGTGGCTAATGTGGTGTGTGTGGAACACTCTTTTTGCCAACAGGAAAAAAAAGTGTTCTACCAAACACTCTACCAGTTCTACAAACTTTTTTCACACTGTTCCACACTCTTCCAGGTTACTGGGAGATAATTCACTCATCATTGTTTACGTACGCCACGAGCGCATGGCAGATCTGCCGCTAGTAAGTCACGAATGGCTGTCTTCCCATGGTGTCGATTGCGATAGCACGTCACGGAGAAGCCGCCCCCTTTATATACAAACGGAAAGCGTTTTATTTAGGTATTGGTATCAAAATATATTTGATGCATTCCCATGTACCACGATACTCTTCAGGGTTCTTTTCTTGACACCAGTGTTCATATTTAGAGCCACAGTCCAAAAATATTTAAACTTTGGGTCAGTACTCTTTCAAAACTCACAGGCTCTCTGTGTATTTGCTGAAACGGCTTTAAAGATAAATGGCATCTTCCTCATTTTATTTTCCTTCTCAGCTGACATATTGAGCCTCCTTTTTTCACTGGCTCTGTGATCAGCATGTGTTTGACCTAGCAACAATGTCGTATGGTGACACCATCATGTGACCTCACACGATACGTATGACGTCTTAGTTCACGTCATGACGTCAAAAATTTTCGTTGTCTGGTACATCAGGATGACTTCGCACGATGACGTCATCATATTATGTGGATTTTTCTCATTGACATCGCAGGCACCAATGGTCGAACTTTGCATTTGATGAGGCATCTGAGGCTCTTGCCTTAGTAAGGAAGTAGGGAAGGGTGATTAAGTAAGTCCGAGGGGTTAAAAGGGAACAGTATGTTGGTGTCCAGTAATCATGAAATCTAAGAATTAAGTGCCACAGGGGGCATTTTAGTAATGATAGCATTGAATGCAGTAAAATTTAGCATCACTTCAGATTGTGGGACCAGAATTTGAAAGAACTAACCCTACACCATGGTGGCAGCACTAACTGCGACATTACATGTTCACGAATTTGTCATCTTACATGTACCTAAAGGTTATTAAAGATGAGTGAAAGGATTGGACGTTCAGTTTTGGGCATTTTGCTATCGTTGTCAGCAAAAGATAATTGCCGATTGGTGCATGCGCAGCCCAAGACCTATAAGACTCCACGCCAGCTGTCGGCTGAAGAGATGGCCACCCTGGTCGACGTGGACAGCACGCCCGAGCGAGTGGAGTTTGAGAACACGCTGGAGCTACTCTCTGAGGACGAGCTGCTCACGAGCGAGCTCGAGGAGGAGGAGCTCGCCCAGAAGAACCTCGGCGCTGTCGAAGTGCCAACCAGTGATGACGAGTACTCGGACTACAGGTATTGTCTTCACCTTTAACACAGGGCAGAAACGGACACAGGACAAGCGAGTAAACAGAGGCGGGCGCTATCTTCAAACTGAGGATTTATTGAAAAAATGCACATGGGTGTATGTCCGCATGATCACGTCTCGGGAGTGCGCACAAAAATTCGCAAAACTTTCGTAAATAGGTTAATACCCTTAAAACTAGATATAACAAACATGGATATAATGAAATATTCGATATAACCAAGTAAATGAACAATAGTCTTGCAATAGGTATAGTGTTAGAAATATGCATTTATAATAAATCTTTAAATATAATGAACTTATCTTTGTGTAAGATGCATTTTTGTTATAATGAGATTTTGGTGCTGATCAATAGGTTTCTTGTCCCACGTCTGTTTCTGTACTGATTGTTGAAGATGCAATGCCAACTAGCCCAATCTCAGACTTTGTTGTAGGTGCTGACTGCACAGCCTTTACTACCGTATGAACTGGTGTGGCAGTTATGTACTGATTCTAAAGGCGTTTTGACTCTGAGAACGAACACTAACAACGAATAGGGAGAAAGGCCAGTCTTCTTCTCTCACCTTTGTTAGTGTTCGTTAGCTCAGTTTAAAAGCCTTTACGGTGAACGTCAGCCATTTAGCCTGACTTGGGGCTCTGTAGTTATGTCCTGCTAAGTTGCTGTTTGCTCCTTGTTGCACCGTGGGTGACACCATACATACCATCATCATTCTGATTGAGTCGCACCTCAATAAACTAATGTAGGGGTCCAGCTAGCATACTGCAGTCATGAAATTTAATTTCCCACAACAGCCAGTACAGCGTACAAGATTGAAGTCGGGGAGGGGGGGGAGACAAAGTGTCAGTTAATGTTGGCATTTGAAAGCAAACCTTCCCCATATTTCATACAGCATTGTTTCCAAAAAGGATCTGATGTTAGCACATGAGAACTGCCATATATTGTTTATTATAAGTTGAAATTTTTAAATAAAATGGCCTTCCAAAGTTAGGGGGTTGACCTATAATCGGAGTCCACCTATACACCGAATCGCAAAGTCGACTTTTTTCAAAGGTTCGACGGATGGTTGTCGTCCTCGGATTTACTGCTACTCGACGTATCGATAACATCAGCAGCAGAGGCAATGGAGTCGCGGGAACTTCTATCTCCCAAAGCATGCGGGCCACTTCCGGAGCCGGACATTTTTACGACCTGCCGCAACGATGACGAAACAAAGGTATAGCTATGGTGGCTAGAAGAGGAGGTGTCAGCAATGGTACATCGGAGAGGGAGAGTGAAACTTTTTTTTTAATCATTGAGAAATGTCAGGTGGGGCTCTCAGTCCAGAGTTCTAACTGATTCAGCATTCTTTCATGATGTGCCACCAACGCCATCAGGGTTTCAATGGTAGCAGCACCGCATCGGCACGTCTGTTCGACGAGATCGGCAACACCGGCACTCGCCGCATTTGGGTATGACAGTGCACTTGGCTCGTGAAGAAATGCGGCATGCGTTTATCGCTCGCTAACAATCCAACATACGTTTATCTGTTGCGAAAAACTCGACATGCATCTTTTGCTCACAAAAAACGTGATGTTTGTTGTTCACGAAAGACGTGATATGCGTTTCTCACTTTAGTAGACAGCGTGTCTTAACAGCATTGCTGACTAGGCAATTCAAAAATTAAGATTTCTGCGAAGCACCATGGGCTGGCAGCGCCGTGTGGGCTGGCAACACTTTGCGGGGAACTAAACCACATGACCAGTCACGTCTTCTTGCCCTCACGCTTGTTTACCATTTCCGCATTTCGCGTTGCTTGCGAACAGTGGTGTGCGCAATTTGGGAACCTGCTCAACAGATGCCACGATTCCACTGCTACACCGGCAACAGTACAGTTCTGCTTTCAAGCTGCAAGGGATCCTCTTTGCAGAGTCTGAAAGCAACGTTGAAGCAGGGCGGAAGTTTAATGGTTCAGAAAAGTGCGTGAGGAAATGAAGAGAACAAAGGGCTGAGATCTTGGCGTGCGCTGCGACACGCCGTTTCTTTCGCGGACCGAAGTCTGAACGATGCCCTGTTATTGAGCAGGCAGCTCGAGATTGGGTTCGCCACCAGAGAAGCAAAAATCTGAGTTTTTGCTTCGATGATATTGAAGCGAAAGCACGTACCATCGCAAAGAATATGTGAATCTGGCTAACCGAGTTAAAACTGTGCTCTTTGAGTGAAGTGGTGCAACGGGTTGATGATGCCTGGTATGAACTGCCAACCAACATGGTCTGCACGGCGTTTTTCACGTGTGGCATCCGGGTACCACCAGCACCGCTTGTGACGGCAAGCAGCAGCAGTGGCTCACACTATGGCATTGACCGTGGCTGCTGCATCCTTCTCTCAAGGGATGATGAGTATAGGTGATGTTTCATGGTTAAATAAATGTTTCTTTGCATCACTCCCGCTTCTGAAAGACTTACTGGTGTGCTATGACTATAGCAGGAGGCTGCATTCAGAGTCAACTTTTCATGCCTAGAAGGGGTTGCAAGTTGGGGGGTCAACTTATAATTAGAGTCGACTTATAGTCAGCAGTATACGGTATATTGGTACTGATCTCTAGAACAGATGAAACCTAGATGCCGAATCTGAAGTAGTTTTTTTTGTTTTAAGTGGCTGAAATGCAAAAAAGATTGTGGCTTTCTCCCTTGACCATCCAGTGCACAGTGGTGACACCAAGGCGCATTTGGTGACTTTTTCAGGGTCATTCGAGATAATCAATGACTGATATAATGACAGAACGGAAAATATTGCTTCTTGGCGATACATGTGTACGCATCTGGGCTGCGGTCTACTTCTGAGCAAAAGCTGACTCAATTTCATTGAAACACAGTACAATGGCATAGAGATGATCGTCTTCGGTCTAGTTGCATGCAGTGCGTCACCTGCTTAACTCATGCCGTTGGTGCCAGGCCGTGCAAGTGTTTTCTGTGCCCACTCTGCTCCAAACCATGCATATATGCAGCGAGTAGCGGTTCTGGGTTAATCAAAACGGCTATGATAAGCTCATTTCAGACGGTGCACACTCCACGACACTCCAGTGGTGCTGTCAGCGGATGGAGGAGCGTCCGGGTCGTTGCCTAATAAAAGTGCACTGTTTGGGGACAACATCACTATGGTTATGTCATACATGTATGCTTAGCATGCTTGTGTCATTGTAGCGAGGTTTCTCAGTGTCCGCAATGCTCATCTCCACAGCAATCAAATGCTTTTGTTGCTGCGAAGCATTCTGCGCTTGAACAGATTCCATCACAACGAGGCGGCAGTGATCGGTAAGCCAGCACATTCAGGTTGTCACCTATTAAAAGCATGCGGTAGGTTTAGAGCAGCACTGCGCCACTCGCATACCCGAGCAAATAGAGAAAGGTGTTGTGATAAGGTTGTCAGTGATAAGCCATACCAGCATATTCGTCAATGACTACCACCTTGTTATGTTTTTTCCTAATTCCTATTTGTAAACGCTCTTTTCAATCACGCTAAAGTCATAATCGGAGATTTAAACTTCAGCACTTTTCTCCACTTCATAATGCACACGGAACGTTTTAACCAGAAGGCATAGAAAAAAACACTGTGGAAAATGCATCAGGCTTTATGAAACTCAGTCGGGAATTGGTCGCTTGATTGTTGATGTTTGAAGCGCTACGTATTAACCAGGTTGGTCCGTGTTCACTTAGTGTTCTGCTTTTGCCTCTCTGCGATATGTTGTTCTCGTTAACGTGCAGCTCCGACGAGGGCACTGACTCGGAGAGTCTAGTGGAGGAGATCGAGCACTCGTTGAACCTGGACGACACTCGGCACATGGCCGAGACCTGGCAGCGCAAGCACGCCTCCTCCCTGGACGTCGCCACTGGCACTCAGGACGAAATGGGATACGAGGTCGGCAATGGCGTCGGGTTGACTCGAAGTCCCACAAAGTCGCCCGGAGCAGACGACGAAGAAGAGAGCGACGAGGAGGACGACGAAGAGACGAGCACGGAAGGTTTGTTGCATGCGACAGCCATTGTAACCGCTTCTTTAGGTTGCTCACGTTTCTTAAAGAAGATAGCTTTTCTTGGGATACTCGAACCCAAAGTTTTAGTTCGTCTTTCTGCCTGTCTGTCTGTTACACGATTCAGCTATCTGGCCAAACTTTAAGTACTCCGTGGAAGCCCAGCCTTCTTCAATTGGTGGCTGCATTCATACTTGAGAATGCTGTCAATCACAAAGCAAATATTACGTATATCTGAGGCACAACATGGGTACGTAAATATGAAGTGGTATGTTTCCTAACTAGAAAATACATAGATAGTAATTTTAAAGACCCTAGTGTTTCTTAGGCTGCCCTGAAACTGGGACGCATGCACAAAATAAGGCCGGCAGAAGACTGTCGTCTTTCAATCACATTTGCTGCGAAGCACACAGATACATGGCTAATTTTATACCCTGATGCTATAGTCAAGCCTAAAATGTGTGCTCAAGGCTCTGCAGCGTTTTTTCAGCAGAAAATGCTGCCAGATGATAGTCGAGGCTCCTGTAAACTTGTGAGCCAGAAATTATAGCTCAGCACACTGCATGAAAGCTCTAAATAAGTTTTAGTGCTTTCTCGACAAATGGTGCGATACAGCCAAAATGAGCTGTGTCATATTGCTGAAGGTCACGGCCACCAGCTGATTGAGCATTGTAAGCTGCACAACTTTGGCTTGTGTAAATATTCGAGCACTTTGATTATTTGAACAAATATTGTAATATTTGATTTCACTATAATTTGAATCAGATCTATTCGAAATTTCAAAGTACAGCAGCCTCTCAGTACGAGAAATTCCTTAAACAAACCTGCCGGTTAAATCGTACAAGTGCCTATGACGAGATCAGCTTTTTACATACACATATTCTTTAACCTTGTCCATCTCACAGCAAATGGAACGCCTACTAAATAAAACATCCTGGTTTATTCAGGTTCCGTTCAACTCTTTCAGACGCCAACTATTACGAACTGTCTGTAAATTTGTAAAATCACTACAACGTTACTTCATGGCACTCAATGTTCTATTGCAATAAAAATAACGAGATAATTGTTGAATGTATGTGTGTCATGGTAACTCGATCTAATGAAGTTGCAATTAAATATCTCTTTATCCCGAAGTGATCGATGCTTACCTTTGGCATAAATAGAATTTAATCTCAGGCTAGAAATATACCGTATTTACTCGCATAATGCTCGCACTTTTTTTGGCGGAAAACCGATGCAAAGTTGGGGGGTGCGAGAATTACGTGGGCAAAACTTTCCATGAAAATGTAAATTGCAAAAAACAAAACGAAGTGGCCGCAAATCGGGGTTCTCACACCAGCAACTAACAGCAAGCTTTGAGAAGTACTAATTAAAACTTACCTCAACATTAAAAGCATTGGTTCAACACAAGGCAAGATTTATTTGAAACACTAAAAGTGCAAGCAAATAGTCGAGAATTAGAATACCATATGCAAAGCTTGTAGCAGTAGCAGTAGCATTCGTCACGCAACAGGAGTTCTCAAAAGGTAAGCGTAGGATGTCAGTATTAGGCTGATGGCTATATAATATAATAGTCCGCAGTTTCTTTCTGAAGAAATAAAGTTTACGATCAATCCCAGTTTTAGGCTTACGGCAGGCCCAACGCGTCTTAGTAGCTTTCAGCTGCCGTCACCAGTAACGAACACAAAACTCGTAGACTCCGAAGGGCCTACCAGCGACCCTATTGTTGTTTAGTGCATGATCTATCACTTTCAACTTGAAAGCAGCCGTGTCGTTTCAGTATCGCCCCATATCGTGACAAGATTACCAACACAATATGCAAAACACGCCGCAATGCGCACTTGCCACTTTGGCTTGGCTTGAATTGGATTGAATCTCCGTGCAGTAATAGTACGCTTGATGCTTATTAAGACACGGCGCCAGATGACACGCGCTATTATCATCAGTGGCTGAAACGAGCAGACGACGTTATTGCGGCAGTTTTGGGGTGTGCGATAATTACTCGAGGAAAAAAAGAAGTCGTATTTTCGTTGGGCGAGAGGGGGGGGGGGGGGGGGGGGGGGGGGGGGTGTGAGAATTATGCAAGTGAAAGGATTAAGCGAGTAAATACGGTAGTGCAAATTTATTTTTGTTTATGTCAATTGTGAGCAAGGAAAATTTCTGCTTTTCACATTGCTTGCAGGAAGTGGCACATCGCACGACACGTCAAACGTGGAAGTGCCTTCAGAAAAGCGATTATATGTATCAGCACACTGCAAAATGAAGTTAATTGGAGACAAATTAATCATGCAGGAGGTTCAATTCATATAATGTACAATATATCTTGCTCTTTCTTAGTCTCTACATGATGCAAATAATGAAAACGACTGGTGCATACAAGTGTGTTCATAGCGACTGAAAGGGTCAATGCGAGTCTACTGTATAAGTGGGTCCACATGTAAAGGTGGTTTTGCTGCAGTGGAGGGGCACTGTACAGTGAATACACCTATTCAGGGAAAAATTGAACTGCCACGAAGCCTTACTTCAAGCTAAAAAGTGAACATGTATCGATTCATTATATTTTGAGTTTAAAAGCTTGTTATACTGGCATATGTGCTCAGACTGTAGTAAATTTTAAAAGGTCATATATCTTGCAGGTTATCACTTGCATTCTGCCAAAAGTCAAATCTAGCTACCATTCAAAGTTCCTTCGACCCGCAGGTCACGGGTTCAAATCCCGGCTGCGGCGGTTACATTCCCGATGGAGGCGGAAATGTTGTAGGCCCGTGTGCTCAGATTTGGGTGCACGTTAAAGAACCCCAGGTGGTCGAAATTTCCGGAGCCCTCCACTATGGCGTCTCTCATAATCATATGGTGGTTTTGGGACGTTAAACCCCACAAATCAATCAATCAAATTCAAAGTTCCTTCCAATTCGTTCGAACCAAAACGAATTGCAATGGCTCATGTCTTGTTTTAGTTAAAAAAGAAAATATTGTGCAGGTCAGTTGAATCATGGCAGGTATGCTCATTTTTCCTCATAATGTGAGATATATGGTCAGAAATATGAGATATATGGTCAGAAAATGTGAGATATATGGTCATAATGTGAGTATGGTCAGAAAAGGTTGTCGATCCATAGTAGAGGCTCCCGACAACACGCGAGCCAAATATTATAGCGCAGCACGCGGCCTGGAATTCACAATGAAATATCAAGGTCAGCTAAAAAGTGCTTTGTTTTCTCTCGACAAATGGCGGAATATGCCCAAAAATCACACGTGAATTACCGATCTATCAGCCGTTGGCTGATTTGAACGTGGCACGCTCGCTCGTTAGAGAGATCGCCGCGGAAGGCCGCGAATTGTCCACGCTTGTGCGCGCGATCACATCGAAAAAGTGGCGCATTCTAAGAAAAAAAGAAAAAAGTGCTCAAGGCCACAAGGCGCGTGTGATGTTTTTCTGTGGCCCTGTCATCCCTCCCTGCTTAGCTTCTAGCGCTTTCGTGGGGACGAGAAAAGAGAGAATGCAATTGCAGCATGTGACAAACCTTTGCAACTCCCACTCGCACTGGACGGATTCTTAAAATTTTTGCGGCGTTGAAGTCGTGAGGCAATAAGCTTTTTCAGTGAATTCATTCCATGGTTACTTGAAAAAGCATTTCGGGGCCCCTTTAAACTTCGACCTGAAATTATTCCACCAAATCATTATTCGTTTGGAATTTGCATTGAGCTTAAAATTTGCTATTTGCACAAGCCTCGAAAAGAAAATAGTACACTTGTACCTCATTATAACAAAGTTGTATTTTACATTAAAAATAAGTTTGTTATATCCGAAAATTTGTTATAAAGGTGTATTCGTAACACTATATCTGCTGTAAGACTGTTCTCAATTTACTTCACCCTAACCGACATTTCATGAAATTCGGGTTCATTATTTCGAAGTTTGAGTGTATATCGGGTGTGCACATGCCAAGCTTCGCTTGCCCCTGTTTACCCGGTAAGACTAAGGCTTCTGAGTTTTTTATGGCTGTTTTTTCGTGTGATTCACGACACTTGTCCTTTGTAGGTGAAGAAGATTATGATGAAGGAGAGGAAGAAGGGGATGAAGAGGATGAGACTGAAACTGAAACTGGCGACGAAGATGCAACGAGTCACGACGTGGACAGCGACGAGGAGTACAGCCCTCCTGACATGTTCTCCGACGGTGAGTCGAGGGTTGCATCCACTTTTTTGTTGTTTTTAATGTTTAATTCTCGAGCAGTTTGAAAAGGAAAAGCTCGCTATGGCATCATATTAATTAGTTCAGTTATTGCTTTCAACGCAGTGGGTGTGTTGAGGAGCAGCTTTGCCAAATTTTAACATTAACTAGATTGCCAATGAGTGATTAGTGGTACATGCCATGGCCGGCTACTCCGGCAATGTTTTTTTTCTTTGCCGGTAATTGTCTCTATTTGGCATTATCAGACTTTAATGATTGGTTACATGACATATAGAGAGGGCACCTGGTAGCTACCAGATGTAATCTTGGGGCACTGCCTCGAAGATTCTCGGCATTGCTTGTGAGCTTGCCGATCCCTGAGGCCCTGCATACAACACCAGACGAGTTCATAATGGTGTTTTGCTATCATGCCCGCGCAGGCATTGGTTTTCAATATGTCAGGTTCAGCTGCGTATGGTGGCAATTTGGGGGGGGGGGGGGGGGTTGATGTAAAAAGCACCTGTCTGCAAGTTTTTATGCTGTGTCCACTTGTATTCAGAAGGGTATATTTTGCATTGAGATTACTATACGTTGATGCTATCTGTCCAGGTCATCAGTCCAGTTCTGTATAGTGAGGTATCTTATAACTTCGTTTGGCGATGCCGATACGACCGCTCTTAATAATGGTTGGCTGAAAGGCTTATCGGTGCATTAATCAGTGTAAAATTCACAGCGTAGACTTCTTTTACAATTTATTGCATTGTTCAGTAAGCCTTACTGACCATTCATACTGGCATCATATGCACACGCAGTCTAATAAAGCAGCACAGTTCACTGTGGCAGTAACCACCTATTGTAGTTGCTGTGGAATTGTTCTAAACATGTTGGGTGACAAAGATATAAACTGCAAGATGTTCGAAACACTACTATTGTGGGAATTCATGATACCTTGATATATAGGAAGGTATATATGAACAGAATTTTGATAGACGTTTGCGCACGAGGTAAAGCGGCTGTTACTAAATTACTTTACTTGCTGTCATTGTCCATTTCTTTATTCTTTTTGACAAAAAAGAACTTTTAAATCAAGAAGCTACTCTTAAACTGAGGCTTTCTTCCTTCCTACTTCTTCGATACTTCTTACTTATTTTACTCATATTGGTGATTTATAATGATGCATAGTCCTTCATGGTTTGAAAAGATTCCAAACTAAAAATATACATTACTTATCTACATGGCTTTCTATAAATTTAAATTGTACAGCGATTCATAATGAATAATTTTATTCACAACTTGACCAACAGGTTGTGCTGTGCATGTTGTGCTGTGCACAACATGTTTCTTATGTAAGAGTGTTATTACAGGAAATAAGTACTTGTCATATTTACTTGAGTCCAGTTATCCCTTTTTCTTGACTAGAAGAGGTCACAGGAATCGGGGCGTGCATTGTGATTGACGGCATCGAATTTTCTATTAAGGTTGGAGGTGCGCTGTAATCGAATAAGTATGATAAGATTGTCATAGACATGGTGAGCAAACTCGCAATGCAATTACCAACTTTAAAACTGCACTTGTGTACATCAAGAAAAAGGTTTTTGTTCTGGTAGGGCATATTACGAAGGGCAGTTCGTTCTTTTGCTCAGAGTCATGAAGTGCACATTTTAGAAGGGTGTATGGTGAAGGAAAAAAAAAGGGGGGGGAAGCTTTAGCTTTAGTGCCAACACACCTTGTGCCAATACATCGACTACCACCTTTACGGTCGTAATGCTCCAGTGGTAGTTTAATTGTGCATTTGTAAACTCCGAAGGTTTTTTTATACGCTCAAACCTCATTATAAACAAAGTTGTATCTTTCACGAAAACAAGTTCACTAATGCCGGAAATTTGTTTGCTGATGCCGAAAATTCGTTATAAAGGTGTATTTGTAACACTTTCTATTGCAAGACTCTTCTTCGTTTACTTTTTTGTAACTGATATCTTACACATCCGTGTCAGTTATATCGAGGTTTGAGTGTACAGGAGACTCGCGATAATTTGAACTCTGATGATTTGTACTTTCAGATAATTCAAAATTCAATTCTTCGGTTGGCCCTCTATTCTGTCTATTTATTTAAATGCCTCTTAATTCAAACTCAATCTTATGGTTAATTCATACTTTTTGCCGGTCCATACCAAATATATCTGTTGATTTCCCGCTACTATTTAAAAATTTGTGTGCTTTTATGATTCCAACAGTGTAAAAATGAAAAATAAGCACCCAAGGCCTTCAAGAGCTTTGCAAGTAAACAAATGCTTGAAACGAAGCACACGCAGCGTAAACCGTGATGCTTCTCAACTGGTATAGAGAGCCTTGTGCTGAAAGCACATACCTATAGCAATGAAGCACTTGGCAGTTCGGGATATAAAAAGTCTGATTAGCAGCCAATAAACTTGTGGACAGTACACCTCTGCTTTCTGTTCACTGCGTACAGTTAGGGCATAAAAACACTTACAAAAATTTTAAATGTGATAAAGTCAATGTCTAATCATAATGTGTGACGTTGCCTCACCCAGAGTTATCTATCTGAGAACTTCTGATAATTTAAACTTCTTGATAATTCAAACAAAATTCAGAGGTCCCTTTGAGTTTGAATTAAGGAGAGTCGACTGTAATTTCAAGTGGTTCCATACAAGGCAACTGCCATTCCTCCTGCTAAACATTTTGTCTTTTCCTTTTTATTTTCTTTTCCCACTTTCCTTTTTTTAGTTGTTGCACCTGTTCATGTGTAAACCATTCTTTGCTGAATATGAATGTTCACAAGTTCACATGTGTTCACAATTGTTGTTTGTTCTCTCTTTTCTTTTCTCTTCCTTCCGTCCTCTTTCAGCTTGCATGAATTACCTTTCAGGTGTGCCGATAGCGCCCTGCCCTACGCTAGAGCGCGATGCCCCCAAGCACGGGCACGATGCATGCGCTGTGTCCTAACAGTGCAGCATGCGCACGTGCCAAACTTTGCTTTAGCATGCACGGTCTGCTCGTTCTCATTTTAGGACGGAAAGTCTGCTACTCCCGAAAGTCATGCCATTGTACTAGTTTGGATAAAGTAGGTGTGCATTAAGACCTTAATTTAGACTGCTCATTTCTAGTTTTAGGTTTTCTTAGTCTTTTAGTTTACTTTCTAAAATATTTTTTGTTAGTTTCGCAAGTTTTAGATGGGGAGAGCTGCAGCGTCAGTTTCGGCACCATTGTACATTTTGTGGGACAATCACTATCATTGTGATAGTAATGCTACATTAAATAACTATTATTATTATTATTATTATTATTATTATTATTATTATTATTACTATTATTATTATTATTATTATTATTTGATACATATACAATGGACAACAATAGTGTTCAGAAGGAGCAGGCCGACAACTGCCTTAGTAAGAATCACCTACTCTTTTTGGAGGTGGGTAATGAAATGAGAGATGAAGGTTGCAAGAAAGAATCGGGAAAGGAATAAAAAAGGAAACAGCCCGCATAGATAAAAGAAACTTATGAAACGAATTGCCTCTAGAAGAAGGCATTCTCACTTAGGTGCGTGTGCTGTCGGGTTTATTAAGCAAAGAGGCCTAATTGTAGCCACTTTCCAGGCGTGATAATAATGGTAATGCTGGCAAAGTAGTCAGGCTAGTAGGTGCCTGTTCATCTTGGGAGCTCATTGGCCGGAACAAAGAATGGGATGCAAGAAACGATGGGACACCATGCTTACTTGAAAAATAAGAAATTTATTGAAGGGGCTTGATGTGTGTGATGCCTCTTCCGTAGAGTTCTGTGAAGTCTGCAAGAAGAGTGCTCGTGATTTTACAAAATTGTTGCTTGCACAGTCACGGCTTAATAGCTCGGGGAGCTACTGTTGTTGCATTTACAAGAGCTGTATTAATGGCTAGACTCCAACACTCCACTTTGAACTGATTGAAGACATTACATTTAATTGCCACTGCCTTTATTATTTAACTAACGGCAGCTTCTTGGCTAACTAAAGGGTGTAGTTGCTTCTTGATGACATTGACCAAAATCACTTTTGCACTTGATCACAACTTCTATGCATTTAAAGATAGCCACTGTTACTTAAGAAAGTTCCACAGTGCTGAACGTCCCGGTTCTCAATGTTCAGTATGCGTGGCCTCACCTGCTGTAAGTTAGAAATTTCATGTTTGTTTCACATTTTGTTGGAAGAGGCACTAAATCGGAAAAGTGAATCAATCTAGATGATAAAAATTCTTTTTTGATAGCTCTCTTGTCAGCGATTTCAGAACTGGGTTTTGCTGTTGAAAGAAAGAAATAATTATAAAGAAGGTCACAAGTTTCATCTTGAATTTCACACCTGAACCTCAGAGTCGGAGTAGGCACCATAATTCGCTACAGTTTTTTGTATTTGGTCGCATCAACCGAGTGTAAATCACTGAAGTTTTGGTGTTAAAACGCTGGCTTGATTAGAATGCAATGTTGTTTATTTTTACTGCTAAAGAATCGGCAGATGCCACCTCACTGTGAGGTGGTGCAGGACATTGAAAATCATGACAGATGATGTAAATTGTCTGCACTTTCCAGCTTACCGAGCATTTTCCCTCAGCAATAACGCTGCCTTTGGCATTGCTGGGATAGTTAATTTAATCATATGAAGTGTACCGTTTCACTCTTTTGTGTCTCTGTTAACTTTGGCTGTCGCTGAAGTTCGTTTGACTTCGCCATCTTCACACTGCACCTAAACAATGTTCCAGTCACAATGTTTGGAAACTGCATGCAAAAATGCTCAATTCTTTACAAAAGCAAGTACCGAAAGCAAGCTTGTCTTGCGACATTAATTCATTACCATCTTTACAGCTGTTCATGCCTTATTGTCACCACTATTGGGTAGTAACTAGTTACCAATAACGTGTTATGGGTATAACCAGTTACTTTTTTTATTCAATTTTTATTCAACCGGGGAGATGTATAATCGAACTTCCACAGTAGTGTGAAACAAATTTAATTGA